AGCCTACGCCGTTTCTATGCTTGACGCTGAAGATGCTGCAGATCCAGCCCGAGAAGGACATCATCGTGGAGTTCATAAAAAACGAGGACTTCAAGTGAGCCGGCAGCTTGTTTTTCTTTTGTCTTTTTGGTTTTCGTACTGAATGAAACTGGCCAAAACAGTCAGGGAAGCCTCGCTTCGGGGTTTAGCTTTTATGGGGCCCGGATAAACTCTTCTGGCTACAAAGCACGCCCTTCCTCTTGCTCTAGCAGCACCCTTGTAGGAGATTTGGGCAGGTGGAGCAGCTCGCCTGTGTGGTGGATGCTCACTGTGACAGCACAGCTCTCCCCGAAGTATTTAGAACAAGGTGGTTTAAGGGAGCAATTACAGGATCACAGAATGTCAGGGGTTGGAAGGGACCTCCAGAGACCATCGAGTCCAACCCCCCTGCCAGAGCAGGACCATCTAGCCTAGGGCAGGTCGCACAGGAACGCATCCAGATGGAGACTCCGCACCCTCCCTGGGGAGCCTGTTCCAGTGCTCTGGAACCCTTACAGGAAAGAAGTTCTTCCTCGTGTTGAGGTGGAACTTACTGTGCTCCAGCTTGTATCTACTGTCCTGTAGCCTAACACAGGGCATAAGTGAAACGAGGTTGCTCCTCTCTTCTTGACATCCAGCCCACATATATTGATATACGTTGATTAGATCCCCCCTAAGTCTTCTCCAGGCTAAACAGCCCCAGGTCTCTCAGCCTCTCCTTATAGGGCAGGTGTTCCAGTCCCCCAGTCATCCTCGTAGCCCTTCACTGGACTCTCTCGAGTAGATCTCTGTCCCTCTGGCAATGGGGAGCCCAGAACTGGACACAATACTCCAGGTGAGGTCTCAGCAGGGCAGAGTAGAGGGGGAGCAGGACCTCCCTGCTTCTGCTGTACACATTTTTCTTCATGCAGCCCAGGATCCCGTTGGCCCTCCTGGCCACAAGGGCCCACTGCTGTCCCATGGACAACTTGTTGTCCACCAGGACTCCAAGGTCCCTCTCCACAGAGCTGCTCTGGAGCAGATCCCCTCCTAACCTGTACTGGTGCATTTTATTCCTCCTGCCCAGGTGCAGGACTCTGCACTTATTCTTGTTGAACCTCATTAGGTTTAATTAGGTTTCATTAGGACCATTTAGTCTAAACGGTTGGCCATTGAGTTTATGTAGTGGTGTCCCTCAGGAGCTGAGGGGAAGGGCTCTGTTCTGCAGGCTGGTGCCTGGGGAAGGCCAGCCCCTGAGAGCTGTGGTTGGCAGGTACGTGCGGATGCTGGGGGCGCTGTACATGCGGCTGACGGGCACCGCCATCGACTGCTACAAGTACCTGGAGCCCCTCTACAACGACTACCGCAAGATAAAGAGCCAGAACAGGAACGGGGGTGAGCACCTCTACTGAGCTGTGGTTTCCTAACACCTCCTGGGTGACCTTTTGTTAAAAAAATGGATCACGCTAAATTAATATTCTTTTTAGTAACATAAGCGTGAAGAATTGTGGCATAACCCTCTTTTTGAAACCTTGCTTTTACTTATTCACCCTTTGGATAATCTGCTGGTCTCGCCGACTTGTTCGAACTAGAACTGCCCTGCTGATTTGGCTCTCCCCAATTGCTTGTGGTTTCTGTGGGGCACTGAAACGTGGTGTTTCCTTGGTACTTATGGAGCTGTTTGAGAGCTGGCTTAAGTACGGTGAATCTGTCAAGCCTAGCTGGGCAGTAATTTCTGTTTTGCAAGATAGGCTTAATGATCTTCCTCATCCTTTAGAATGATATTAGAACTGTTGTTTGTACAGCCCACTTGACATGAATTGTCTGAAGCATCTTTAGCCATGAATCTTCGTCTTTCAAGTGCAATTTTCCTTTCCCCCCACAGAATTTGAACTGATGCACGTGGATGAATTTATTGATGAGCTACTCCATGAGGAGCGTGTGTGCGACATCATTCTACCTCGATTACAGGTTTGGAAAGGGAGATGGTTTAGGAGTTCTTAACTGCATCAGACTCAACAGCTGTGTCAGCTACTGGATTGTTCCATGCCGCTGCACTACAAGCCCTCTTGGCACACGAGGTGCCTCCTCAGCTCTTTGTTCTTACTGGGTTACATAAGATAAAGTTGTAGTTTCTCCTCCTAGAAACGATATGTTCTGGAAGAAGCTGAGCAACTCGAGCCTCGTGTTAGTGCTTTGGAAGAAGACATGGATGATGTAGAGTCCAGTGAGGAGGAGGAAGAAGAAGACGAAAAGGTTGGTGAACTGTTTTCAAAAGGGATCGTTAGAGCTGGTGCTGAAGCACTGCAGAACACTGTGGCCTGTGAGAAATGTTTGAGGCTGCTTGCAGTGCTTATCTTCTCCCTTAACATATTTTCAGATAATCTGCTTGTGAGAACTTGTTAGATCCTGAAGGTGCTCTGTTTGTCAAGCTTTTTTGTCTCCCAAAATTCACAAATTTGGATCTGTTCTCTGTTAAATGTATTTAAGAGAGATTTTTCTACATACACAATGGAGAGAACTAAAGGTGATGATGAAAGTTATGGTGACCATCATAGTAAATTCTGCTGTGCTTCTCAAGAATCAACAGTATGAGAGGTGGCTGTTCCAATTTCCAGTGAGGCAGTACCACTCACTTCTGAATATGACATACTTCAGGATGAGGAAGCTTGATTGCATGACTTCTGTCATGTATAGAATTGTCCAGAAATTCTACTGATAAATAAAACCCTTGATGCACCTTGTCCCCCTGCTGTTTCCAGCTGGAGCGAGCACCCTCCCCTGACCACCGCAGAAGGGGCTACAGGGACCTGGACAAGCCCCGCAGGTCCCCGGCCGTGCGCTACAGGCGGAGCCGCAGCAGGTCTCCTCGAAGGTGAGGGGGCTCTTCTGCAGCAGAGTTCTTACCCCTTGTGCTGCACGTGGTCGGGCTTTAGTCACTCTTTTCTCCCCCAATCGCAGGCGAAGCCGCTCTCCAAAGAGAAGAAGGTAGGCTTTCGTTCTATTACTTAATCTGAGAATACCTGCATTTTTGGCACGGCTGTTTTAAAAGCTTCCTTCCTCCCAGTCCGTCGCCCCGCCGGGAGAGGCATCGCAGCAAGAGCCCCAGGCGACACCGGAGCAGATCCAGGGAGAGGAGACACAGATCAAGATCAAAATCTCCAGGTATTCTTGTCACTTACAGGTTAACTCTGGCAAGTCTTTACCAGCAGAACATCCACTGCAAGAAAAACCTGTGTTGTGGTATTAAGAAAGTGCTTGATCAGGCTCATGAAACTGCCAGTTACATGAAAGCACAGCTGGAGAACTCCTATAGTACGTGTAAGATTGCCTGCAGTATGTTCTTCAAGTATTTGCCAGGAGGAGGTTAATTTGAGTGCCTAATTAAGGCCAGGGTTGTTCTGGCATTATCTAGGACACTTGGTCACTAGAAGCAGATTGCATTAGCAAAACGAAAAATAATTCCAGTGTTTAGGGAGGTTAACTGTTACCTTTTTATCTCCTAGGCCATCATCGGAGTCACAGACACAGAAGTCATTCCAAATCACCTGAAAGGTAAAGGCTTGGCCTATTTCTTAGGGGTGGCTGTAGTGCTGTAGGACCTCTTGTCCTCTTGTAACCTTAGGGATTGAAGATCTTCTTACTTGATCTCCAGTATCTTATTTCATACAGTACATCCCTCAGTCTTATAGTCAGCTCACACAGTCCATATTTGACCATAGAAAACCCCACTTGGTGCTATGAGTCACCTGGTTCTTTCAAAACCATTACTGGTACTGTGTCTTAAAGTGGTGTGGTTTTGTTTTTTTTTTTTTTTCCCTGTTTCAGATCTAAGAAAAGTCACAAGAAGAGTCGGCGAGGGAACGAGTGACAGAGTAAACCCAGCACACATTTTAAGGACCTTGAACTGCAGTCTGATACTGTCCTGTATGCTTTACAGGACAGCTGGATGTGTACTGGCTGCTGTAGCAGTCCATTGCGTTAGTTTTTTAACTTGTGTACAAGTCCTGTTTGGTTTTGTTTTTTTTTTTTTAATAAAAAGAAAGCTAAGGCCACTTCTTGTGTAGTTAGTTACTCCTCCTTGTGATAGAAGTTGTGGATCGTTTTTAAATTGTTTTTTTCTGAAGGCCTGTAAAAATAGTGAAGAGCAATAAAAAAAAAAGGAAAGGTTTGACTTTAAAGGCTCCTTGCTGTCCTTTTATAACCCTTTGTTTAGGTGTCCCCATGTTGAGGCTGGCTTCATTCTCAGATCAGGGAGTTGGTTTGACAAACAGCTGCTGCTTTCAGTTGCCAAAGTTGAGAGTATTTTTGAGTTACAAACACCAAAGAGCTACCAGCCCGAACTCTATCAAACCTCAGTCACAGCAAAGAAAGTTAAGCCTGTCATCAGCCAGTGTGATTACTAAAAACAAGAGCTAACTTGAAACACATCTCCAGCACAGAGCTGTAAACATCATCCCTAAGTCATGATACACATCTTCTGATGCTGCTATTTGACAGTTTAGAGGCTTCAAGTGTAGTACAAAGCACCACACTTGATTCTTTTCAGGAAAGAAGTTACTTGGTAGATTTAAAGACAGTAAACCACTACTTTGAGATAGTTTGTGGCCTACCTGTGACTGGGGACAGAATATGACACAACTACACTTAGCTCTACCTTCTCTGAATGAAGCTGGCAGTCTGCAAGTCCCTGGATTTCAAATGAAGAATAATTAAGCTCTTACTCAAGTTACAGTTCTCAACTTAGTACATTTAATTCTGTATCACAGGCAATCAGTTGTGTTAAATCCCTTGGCTATCATCCCTTTACTCAAATTTATTCTTGAAGTCTTGCTTCAGGGGCAGGGACTGACACATTCATCTCCTGAATGCTGCATTTATGGCTTACATATGTGCACAGACTGCCCCACAAGTGTTGACAACCCAAAAAGCAGTATGCCAACTGAATTTACGGAAAGTCCTCTTTAGAATTACTTCATAGTACAGTCTGATTTTTTCTAGAGTATTTTCATCTCCTTTTGCAGTTTATGAGCACGCAAATCAAGTGTTTTACAAGAAAAACACGCTGTGAACACAGGTATACTGACTATGACTCACTAAAGCTGCTCATCTCTTACTTTAGAATAACTAAATTAAAGATATTTTTATTACTCTGGTTTCCCAATTCCAGTTAAATGCAAGCATGCGTGCAAATAGGGAAGAGGAAAAAGTCTTATGTCCTTTTTTTGTAGTTTTATTTTTCTTTTTAAAAAGTTTTTTGGCACTACATAGTTCTGTAAAGAATAGAAGTGACAAATTTTTAAACACATGAAATCCCCTTCTAATTTTATTTTTTTTTAGAACAATATATATAAAGTCTGAAGCAACCAAAGTATGAATACAGCTAATAGAAAATAAAGAACTTAATTTTAAAAATTCTCTCTTTACAGTTTATCAAGATAAACCAAAACACAATTCCCCTTAAAAATAGGGTAATAAAATAGATGAAATTTGTATCACTCCGTTTTGTGATACTAGTAAAAACTATAGTTCATATCTATGTACAAATGATACAGTTTAAAAACAGTCTTAAATAATCTCGTATCTAAACATGTTGCATTAAGATTTTAAATCAGAACCTGAATTTTCTTCCTCCCCCCACCCCACCCACCCACCCTCTCATTTAATTTCACTTTTTCTGTTGAATGTAATTCAGATTCAAGTGCGGGTGTCCTTGAGACAGAAGCGAGAACCGCTGGTTACTCTGCATCAGTGGACCAGCTAAAAGAAAATGGATTACAATTACTTCAGCAAAAGCAATAGATTTAACAGTGCTTGGCTATATGCAATGCATTACTCCTAGAAATCAAGCCATTTCCTAGGCTGGCACAAATGCACAACTAGCCCATTTAATGGCACAGTGCAGTATGACTTTAATCCTGTCTCCAAAAATCCCGCAGAATCATCAACACGTCGTTTCGTTGCATCAGTTATTTAACAAAAGTAATTTCAGGATATTTAAACATGGGTCTCAATTGGAAATCTTGCTACAGCCAAAAGATAAGATTTGGAAAAAAAAAGGGTTTGGTGCCAGTATCTCTGATTTTACACTAGGCGACACAGCAACACGGTAAATCCAAAGCCTCCAAGTAAAACGTGGGCATAATTTCTCTCATAGGGGAGCCAAAGGTCTTTCTCCAACAGCCTTTCCCAATCCTGAAAGATGCTGAACATCTTTACCATTCACTAGCATCAGGAAGAGCTGACATAAAGCCACTCCTAAATGCCCTGAACAGCTGAAGCTAATCTAACTTTGAAGTTAGTGCTGCTATGGCTGCAGATGGGTTGGACTAGGTAACCTCCAGAGGCCTCTTCCAACCTGAATTATTCCATGGTCTGGCAAGTTTTCATATATGTAAGTCATTCCATAAGGCAAAGTACAAAAGCCAAACAAAATCAATTAGGACAAAAATGTCTTCAAATTCTTAACACACTCATAGGCAAATCATCTTAACCTCTATTGAAGCAGAGGTGGCTCTACAGTGAGACAGCAGTAGTGGAGGAGCAAGAGCCTCAAAGTGCAGCAGACTGCAAACTGGCTCAGATTTCAGAATTTGTAAATCCCTTCCCCCCCAACAAAGATTTTCATCCATCCAGGAAGCCGAAGTGTTGATTTGATTCTCGGATTCACTATTGTTCCAGGGAGCCTAGCAAGTGAAACATGATTGCTTGGCTTTTAAAGCCTTTGAGACAGTAAAGAGACATGTTGTATGAGTTGTTGATTCACATACTAGTTCTAGTACCTTGAGGGTAGAAAGGTTTGTTCGGTGGAAAGCTGGCATTTCCCTGCTGCATGTAGTTCTGAGGCATATTGTAAGGCCACGCTCCTCGGAGGAGAGGAAAATGGGTAGGGGTCCCATGGTCCCAAGGGACAGAAGGAGGGTTCATTTTACCAAACTGTCCTTGGAAACCCTGATCTATTTTTCAATTGAAAGGGAAAAGCACATTGCAAGTTGAAATAATTGAACAGTAAGTCACAAAAACAATTTACATCTTAAATAACAGTTTGCAGGGGACTTAATGCAATTAGTCTGATGTGCTACTATCTCTTTTTTTTTTTAATATACATCAATAAAAATTACCACCTAAATTACTTTCTTATTCACTATAATAGAATTTATTGGGGAGGAAGACAGAGGATGGATCAATATTAAAATCAAGACCTACAATTTCACTACTCCTATGTCATTCTCATGATGACAAATACAAGGTCTGAACAATGTTGCTGATACTTATCCCACACAGGTACTCACTACCACTGACATCTGTGACACAAAACCTATTATTCTACTGCAAGAAATAATTCTCAGGGGCACACTGGAATTCCACTAATACTTGTATGCTTAAGAAACTTGATATCTAGATCAGCAGACCAAGTTTATAGAGAAAAATAAAAACTTTTGAAATAAGTACATAAATTGCAAGCTATTCCATTTACAAATCCAGTATTACTCCAGCATTAAGAATGAGAAATCAAGCATCCAAGGAGGAGGGAGGACACACAACAGTTGATGGCAAATGCTCTATTACTAATCCTGCTATTTTTGTTCATAGCTCCCAATCTTATACAACACAGCAACGTACATTTTAAAATAAATAAATATGAGTAACTATCCTTCTCAGCATATCATCTCCTCTTCAGGCCCATCATAAAAAAAAATCTTGCAGATGGACTTCAGTTAAACTACATATATATATGTAAACATACATACTTATGTAGTTTACATGCATATATGTAAACTACATACATAAAACGAAAAGTTACTTTTCTACAACAAAACATGAAGCACTCAGGGGTATGCATGAAAAAACGTCTCCCTGAAACTTTTAATGATGCTACTTCTGATCAATCATCTACTGAAAAAAAAAAATCACCCCTTCCAAGTCAAGGTTACATGAGCCAAGGCAAAGTTTCCATGAACTTACTGTTCTCAAACTGTCCCAAGTGAGCAAGGAAGCAGCTTGCAAACAGAGAGCAGACAGCTCAACTCTACCATGCACCTACCCAGTGACTCCACCTTAATGGCATCTAAGCCAAAAAGGAAACAAAACTGATTAAAATACAAAGAGGAAAATACCGAGACTGGGAGCGTGACGACATTAGAGATCCAGAAGTTGAGAGAAGGGAAAAAAATACTGTGATCGGTAGTACAAGAAAACCTGAAAACATTCTGTGCAGGCACAATGAGGAGTGGAAGCAGAGAGCAAAAGGAAAAACACTGAACACAGGGACTGACTGACTACAAGGTGAGGAACAGGACTCATTAAGGGAGAGTGGAGCAGAAACTAGGATCTGGAGGGCTTGTCTAAAAGAAGGCAGCTACCAGAGTCAGAAGACTTTGACCGGAAGGAGCTGCTTCAGAAAAAGTTAGAGCTGAGGTGGACACACAGGAGGGGACAGATGAACCTGGACAGAAAATTTAAGATCAGAAAAGGTGAGGTAGTGACAAAGCACACTGAAGGCACAGAAAACACATGGGCAGCAGTTTCTGTATCCTCTAAATTGTATTTCCCAAAAAGCTCTGAAGACAAAAACATGCATCTCCAGCATCTCAACAAACGTCTGAAACTCACTGGTGAGTTAGGCCTCACCCAACACTGCTGACTCAGCTGAAAATCTACCACTGCTGACAATCACCTTATGTGTGTAAAGAAAGGCTCTGCAGGAGATTCAAAATTCCATCTTTTGATGAACGACCACATCAGTATAATGTATGACGGCTGCAATTTTTTTTAAACATAGGAGGAGTTACACACTCATAATAAATCAAAACACCATTATCATGACCTAAAGATCACAGTTAAAATTTAGGGGCTGCCACAGTTTGCTGCACAGGAAACTATGGGGTTTTAATGACTAGATACTGCTTTTTTCAGCCTCAAACACACAAATATGCTTGGCTGTGGTACGTGGCAAAAGGCTGTTGCCCACTCGTTGCAAAGAAAAGCTGCAGGAAGTATTTTAATGAAAGGACACAGATTCTGGAAGTTGCATATGGGAGGATAAAGTAGGAAAAAAGAATTCATGAAATCATGTTATATTGCATTAAACGGAAGGAGGCAATATTCAACTTGCACAACCATAATTCTGCCAGTCTCTTAAGTTCATAGCTGCAGACTCAGCATTCATCTAATAAACTACGTAGCTACAAACATGGAAACCATATTCACAGAAACGTGCTTCCGACCCAAACAATTATTACAACATTTCTCAGTTGAATGCATGATTTCTCAGGAGTTTCACAACTATTAATGGCAGATAGGACCAATGCCTGGAAGTTACAATGATCCAACTTGCCTCATGTTTTTCCTATGAAAATGTTAAGATGGTGAAAATAATGACTTAAGTTTCTGAAGCATAGCATTTTTAGTTTAAAAGAAGTTGCAAGAGTTAGCTGTTTCTGTAACACTTAACACTGGGACACAAAGTGCGAGAGGTTTGATACAACAGAGAAGAGTTACCTGAATTCCCCACAGTGCCATTGTTCACCAGTGAGTTTGGAGTCACGGGATTGTGCCAGTGTCCCTCATGAGAAGTGCTGGGGATTCCCATGGGCCTGGCAGCAGGCTGTGCAAAGATGATACTGGGATCGTTCAAGCTTACACTGCTCTGGTTATTTGTGGTGCTGCTGCTGCCAGATCTCATAGAAAATGGAACATTTGTAGAATGAGGAGGGTTACCCGGTGCAGAGTGAATAACAGGCCCGTGAATAGGCCAAGAAGTGTTGGGAAGCTGAATTTGGTGGTGATGGTGCATCTGAAGTAGTCCCAGGTTATGCAAGGTGGAATACTGACCTGGGGGAGATTGGGGAAAGTTAAACAAAGGCAGCTGGACCTGATGGGGTGGCTGTGCACCCTGCTGGGGTTGCGGAACGTGCTTAGACTGGGACATTGGTTGTGGCTGAGTCTGGTTAATGGAGGCTGGCTGAGAGGAATTCTGTGTAAATTGTTGAGGCTGTGGAGAGTAAGATGACTGATGCGAATCAGACTGGAGGGAAAAAAGAGAGTATGTATTTCTGATTAGTTCACAGCTATTTAATGACGTTTTCCTTTAATAAGCACCCCCTGTATTAGACGACTCATCAAAAAGGCAAAGCACTCCCCAGCAACACCCCAAATACTGCACCACGATCTTGCTGGTTTAAGTAACCACAGTTTGACTGACACTGACTTTCACCATCGCATAATTTCGTCTGTTCATGTGGCACCAACAGAAATATTCTGAGCAAACATTATCCCTAAACTCTTCATCAGATTCCTCCCACATCTGTTTCTGATCAGTGTCTTCCCCACCCTACCGTTTTATGACCCAAAATCTCATTAACTAATTCCTTCCTTCTAAATAGAGTGGTTCTTATTACTACAGACACTTTTTTACATAATTCCAAACTAAGCTCCTAATATATCTTTAAATTTTCATTTAATTTGTTAAACGAGAAATTGAAACTTTAAAACCCCAGTTTTAGCCTCCATATTCTGATACTAGGCCATGGCTAAAGGCACAGAAACAACATTTATTACAGCCTTTACAGGGCTCTCACCAAGCTTTCCCATCCACCACAAACAGGGATGAGCCTATTTCATCTGTTTGGTATTGCAACTAAGCAGAGAAGCACTTCAAGAACTATGGAAAGAGTTCCCCAGTTTATCTGCCAAAATGTATTACCAGTGTCTGGATTAACATAATCCATTTTTAAGACAAGATGGTGATGGCATGAAATAGGTGCCTCCAAAGAGGAATTCAAATGAGAGACAGCTACCTAAACTAGAGATGATGACCCAAATCTCAGATCTCGGTCTCCCCGTGGAGCTGCCTGTCTCACTCCATAGACTACAGCAGACAGCTAAGCTCCAAATAACTCAGCTGCTGTCAAACATCTGAAGTTAGAGGTCTCTGCAGCTTGTCACTATCCATGACTGCCCGCCTGTTTAAACTGGCAGTTCCTTTTCTTCAAGGACCAGAGGTCTGCAGGACCTCCCCATGCCAGCCTTTCACAGCATGCCTCACAGCAGCATGCTGTCTGTCTCTGCCTGGGCAAGGCTGAGGCCCAGAAGCTGGGATTGCTCCCTGCTGCTATTCCCAGTGTTCCTGTATGAGTGCCTCCTATGCCCTTCTATTAAACCAGGACACGAATGCAAAACCTGGGGTCTGAAAGACAATTATTAGTTTAACAGTTTAAATGTTACAAAAATAGAGCACACACACTGACTGCAGCCCTCCTGCAAACACTAACCCACCACAAGCATGTGCTAGACATGCCAGCAGCAGAAAAGTAGACATGTTCAACTCCAGCCTCTTGGTCAGTTTCCATCCTTCTGCTTTCCCTTTTCTCTCCCTCTTCCTCCACTAATATTCTCCCTTTCCATTCTCCTCAAACAATCCCTAACAGCTCACATTCACCAAGAAATCCGGGCCAAATAACAACCATGCAACACACACACAGAGCCCACGACACCCAGGTGACACAAGAACAGTAGTGTGCTGGCAGTTCAGCCCTCCACTTAGATTAGGGCTGTATTATATATTAGGCTTAACAGCATATTATTATAGTAAAAAATATCATAAAGTCCATGTTACTGGAGCAAACACTCCAATAAATGCTTACTGCTCAGTTGGGAAATACTCTATACCTGAAGCAGTAGTTTGCTTACTTGCCAGCTTCACTAGCAGGCACACATTTCTCAGAGTAATAGCTTAAAATGAATGAACTTCTGCTGTGTTCTGTAAACCAAAAACATCAAATGCCAATAGCTGCATTTGCTCAAATACCTTCTGCTATCCAACTCCACTGAGCAGATTAAACATTTTTATCCAGTTCTATAGACTTGAACATATTCTAAGAGAAAACCACAAAATTTCCCCTTTGTTCTGCTTGTGCTTCTAGTGTGCTCTGAGAGACTTTTGCTCCTTGTACTACATCTGAATAGAAGCATGATTTATCTGTGTTCCCTGCCTGGTCATGACAGTCCCTCAAGACAGGACTCTTAAACCACAGAGAATCACGGTAATCACAAAACTAAGTCTCCAGCATGACAATTATAAGCTACGTTTTACTTCCCTTCGTAACTCCAGAATAACTAAGAACAAGACCTCAAAACACATCCATGCTTAAATCTCCAAGATAGCAAAGCTGTCCTTTCACAATTGCATGCTATCTCATATGAAATTTGAGTACGTAGTGTCCCTATCTAAAGACCATAAATGCTCTGCAAGAGATACTACCTTATAAATCCAAGTTACATAAATGGGAGTTTAATAACTGGCAGAGTGCAGGGTTATCATTCTAACGTCCAGAATCTGCTGAGAAAAAGAGCCCCGTGCAAAGCTGTCCCCAGCATGGCCCAGGGTGGCTGGTTTGCTACGGGTTGCTCACTTCAGCGCTGTGGCCGGGGCGAACTTACACATTCAGAGGACTGCCTAGTGCGCAAGGGTCGCTCCACCTGCTGCTGACTGACAGCCACGAGCTGGGAGTTTACCATGCTTCGGACCAGCTGGGTGCCTGATCAAGGAACAAAAACGTTAATAAACCCCACAGTGTTACAGATGGCACAATAATGAACGCAGAAGTGGGAGTCAGTGATACCCTCACTCTCCTGTGATGCAGAGCAGGTCAAGCACTTGAACCTCTCCTCTCCTTTAAACGGAAAGCTTTCCCTCCACTGGCAACTGCCAACGTTAATAGCTATGGCAGCTAAACCAAAAATCTGAGTAACACAAATTCTAGCATGAACAAAGCTCACTTAGCTCGTGGGACTGCTACTTTATACAAGTTTCCACACTCCTGCTGCAAGCAGGGGGATTTAAAATAGCAGTAAAAACAGCAGAAACTTTTGGACAAAGAAAAGGAAAAAATAGTGTAAGTGATATCAGAATACAGAGTCAGCAAGGTTCTCTCTAAGCTTATTTATCTTTGCTTTATTTTTTTAAAGTACTGCAGGCACCTAAGGGCCTAATTTGAATGAATCTGCCATTAAACTTGTCTCTAATTAATAACAGTGATTTGAAAGCTGGATCTAGCTTTCTAATGCATATGGATGCTTTTGGAAGTGTTATGTTAAGACCATAGATTTTTAGTGAAAACACATGTGCTTACCTCTCACAGATGATGGCGAGTTAGCTAACTTTTGAGAAACATTTGGAAGAGGAAATGCACTCAGTTATTACTGTTATTACTAGTCCTACATGCACCCATGGTGAGTGGCACAGAAATAATGCAATACCCTGAAGTACGCTACATTTACTGCCAAGAACGTTTTTATCACCAATGCAAAGACTATTTCAGGAAGCATTAGTCCCCTTGAAGAAAAGCAACACTTAAGGCTAAAAACTGTATTTGGAATGACTGAAAACATTATTTGCAGAATTTTTTTTTAAGATAATTACCAGGTCAGCATAGAAACCTAGATAAAAGGGATCTCAGAACTTTCCCATTATACTAACAACACATGAACAAACTTACCTGGCACGCTGTTATTTCTCTGACGGGTTTGTTTGAATTCTGGACAATCTCTTCTAACATGACCCACATCCCCACAGATAAAACACCTTTTCTCTCTTGTTTCTCTGTCATCTTCTTTTAATTCTTTTTCATCATCTTTCTCATTCTCCTTTTTCTTCAATCTGAAAAATAAATGTCATCAGTTAAATGCTGGGGTTTAAATACCCAACCCTGAATGAGGGTTGGCATATGGATGATGGCCACAACCAGGCAAGAAAGACCCTCCTGATTGGTTTTCACCCAGGGTCTGGCCAGCCTTGGGTGGGAACTGATGAGGAGATCACCACCAGGTGCCCCCACCTTCCACATTAATTTGGAGGCGGGGCAAGAATCCAATTCTATAAGAGCTGGCTCCCCTTGCAATGGGTCTGGGAGCTTTGTTCACACAGTGTATGTTTTTGGGTGAGGACTGTGGCTATCAGAAGGGCTCCTTGACTCTTCACAAGTGGCGTTCCCAGGACAACAGGGCCACAACATGAAGCTGTCTCTGAGTCCCTGCTATACAACTGGGCTTATGGTGTGGCTGCTACCATTGCCTACAGCGTGCTCCCTTCTTCATGTCCCCTGTGGTGGGTGAGTGCATTGACGTGTTCCTCCCTCTGGCTGTCTGGCACTTTGGATCTCTGGGGTGTGATGTGGGAGTGGAGGGAGGAGTTTGGCTGCTGGTCTGCCTCTTAACAATAGTACCATTCTATATTGGGCAACTGGTCAGCAGAAGAAAGTGTCATGGACAGTCTCATCTAAAACCCCTGATTGGAGAGACCCTCTGTACTGTTTGTTAGCCAAAATGGGCCAAGTTTGCTGGACCATATGAACAATGGAAGTGTCCATTAGGAGATGCTGAATCTTGGGATATACTAGATATTCTCCAAAAATTATCCTACAAAAAAGGCAAGAATGTTGTCATCTGGCGATGGCTATTGTTGACTGTGTATAAGAAACAGCATCAATTAAAAGAACACTTGGTGTCACAGCACTCCCATATGAAGCAGCAGCTCAATGATTTACAGAGTCAGATCTCTACATTACAGTGCCTCAATAAGTTGCTACCTGATAAGCTGGGCACTTCCCAGATGTCACCTGAGAAAGCTGAAGTGAGTGTTGCCCACCATAATCAGAAGTTGATTATGGGGCAAGTTACTGATTGACTGAACAGATGAATGGGCTATTGAAGGAGCAGTTAAGGAAGCTAGAAGATGGAAACCTGTGGAGAACCTGTGAAGCGGTGGAAAATGTGTATCACAGGTGTGCTACAAGCTCCCAACATATATAGATACATCAGGGAGATGGAGACTCCCTCGATGGGTATGACTACACCAAATTTGCAGATACAGCCTTTAACAGTGAGAGAAACTTTGACTTACTGGGAGATTATCCTGGGTGCAATGGCCCCTTACTGGGCCACTCCAGAGGCTGCTGAGCTAGATCTTAATGTATTAGAACTGATAAAAATAAGTCAAAACCAGACGAGAGTTATGAACACTGGGATAGGAATCCAAATTCCCCCAGGATGCTTTTGTCTGATAGCTGATCACTCAAACTTAGCCCTCAAGGGTGTTCACGTCATGGGAGGAGTGACTGATACAGACTATCAAGGAGAAATTAAGGTAATCTTGTTAAATAATGGTGAGCAATATTTGATTATGCAACCCTGTGATAGAATAGCACAGTTATTGATACTGCCAATTTTAAAAACAATGGAGGGGGGGACCACCCCAAGTTACTACTGTACATGGGGATAAAGGGTTTGGATCCATCAGTTTCAGTAATGGAGCAAAACTATGGGTCCAAGGGCTAGGAAGCCCTCTTGAACCAGCTGAAGTATCAGCTGCAGGGAAGGATAATACCATCTTAATCATGAAGCCTTGGCAAGAAAAATGGGAACATGTCCCTGCAAATAAGTGTTACTTGCAAGAATGACAAGATGGTGTAGAAGCTTATTTTACAGACCCAGTGTGGAGCCACTGAGAGTGCAAGGACAAGGTGTGAAGGACCTCCATTTCTATGTAATGAGGGACACTGTGCTTCATACCACAGATGTGATGGCAGTATCACAAGTACCTGCATGAGGAGGATGTGTGCTGAATCTGACTGTGTACAACGTTGGGCAGTGTGTGCCTAACAGAGAGCAGTGTGATGGGGACCTGAACTGGGGGGGTGGGTCTGACAGGGGTGTCAAACTGTGCCGAGTAAATAAAATGAGCTGTGGGCCTCGGTCCAGGCAGAGTATCCCTGTGGCCTAGAAATGCAAGGTGGAGAGTGATGTTCTTGCACCTGCTGGTCAGGGCTGTGGCTCATCCATATGCCAAATGACTGAATGAAGTACTGGGGTTTAAAACCCCAGCCCTTAAAGAGGGTTGGCATATGGATGATGTCCACACCCAGGCAAGAAAGACCCTCTGATTGGTTTTCAGCCAGGGTCTGGCCAGCCTTGGGTGGGAACTGATGAGGAGATCACCACCAGGTGCCCCCACCTTCCACATTGACTTGGAGGTGGAGCAAGAAGCCACCTCTACAAGAACTGACTCTCCTTGCAGTGGGGTGGCCTAACTACATAGTGCATGTGCTTTGTGGGGATTCTGGCTCTTTGAAGGGCTCTCTGACTCTTCACAACAAGTGGAGTTCCCAGGACAACAGGGCCAGAACATGAAGCTGTCTGAGTCCCTGCTATGCAACTGAGCTCATGGCCTGGCTGCTCCCATTGCCCATGAAATGGCTCATTCCCTTCTTCATGTCCCCTGTGGTGGGTGAGTGCAGTGACTTGTTCCTCCCTCTGGCTGTCTGGCACTTTGGATCTCTGGGGTGTGATGTGGGAGTGGAGGGAGGAGTTTGGCTGCTGGTCTACCTGTTAATGAAAATATCATTCTATGTCAGGCAAGCAGTCAGCAGAAGAATTAGAGATTTTTTTTTTGTGGTGGTGGTATTGCTATAGGGTTATGTTGCTATGTTCAAAGGAAAAGGTTACATAACAAACAGCTGTACTAGAATACAAACATCTCAGGAATCCCAGAAAATACACCTGCAGAATCTGGGCTGTTTAACAACCTGTTTGTATAATCTTAATGAACTTGGAAGCTCCACAGAATTGTCTGGAAGCCATCTGACTGTACTAGTGCAGAACTACACCTGCACTATATACCATTTGAGAGCAATTCTGTGTTGCTGTGCTGTAGTAGGAGTTCATGTGAAAAGCAGACCACAACCTCTTCTCCTGAGGCAGATGTAGGGAGAGAGGTGATGTAATTCTATGTCCTAGAGCTTGTGAGTATGTTAAGGGAGCAACTGAAAAGATATAGTCAACCTGTGACCTTAGGGTTCCAGTCCAGTTTCATCTGTCTTCAACTCTGCCCTATCTGTCATGCACTGTAAATAAGGACTTTGTAGCAGGAAAAGAGCAAGAGTCTTTTAAAGAATTATGGAGCACACACCTGAACATGAGGAGTAAATGAAAAAGCCCAGAATCTGATCTGCATTCTAAGGGATTCAAAAGGTTTTAGGAGGAGTCAGATAACCTGCACAGAATAGGTCACTAAAAATCCAAAGATGTAAAAATCCAAGGAGTGCACATTCTCTGTCAATTCCTCCTAGACTCTTGGGAGACACTGACCTGCATGTACTTGGGACCCCTTTTTCAGGAGCACTGGATCCTAAACTAAGTGCACTGGATGTATAAGTGGAAGATCACTAAGTGACTGGTGCTAGTATAATGCTACAGAAATGCACACTAAGTATGTACATTTTAACTATTCCTAGATTTCAGTAAACTTTTCCCTGCCTTGCAGAGGTACATCACCAGATCTATAGAACAATTCAAATTCAACTCTGTGTTGCAAATATGTTTTCTACAGAAAATCCACTTTAAAGCATTACAAATTGTGCAGTCAAGTAACATGGTCTCGAGCTGAATGTTTGTACCACAAAATGATAACTTAGTGATCTAAATCTTAAGGTAAGCTGTAACAACAGGGACATCATGAAGCAAAAATATTAACATTATACACTATTGATTTTAAATCTGCATGTTTGTACAAGCACACAGAGTAAAGAGATGACCCAAAATAGTTTTAAGAAAAGCAAAAACAGGATAGCAAGTTGAGGATCACAGGTGAAGTTTTGACTTTCTCTGCAATTCAACATATTCTTCATTTCCATTAAAATTTCAAATATCTAAATCTCTCCTGATTTGAGCTCAGATTTTGTTAGCTTTGTACATGACTTACCTCCTCCTCTTTGGACAGTCTTTCATGTAGTGACCAATTTTTCCACAGACACGACAACATCTGTCATTGGGTGCCAATTCCCCATCTGTCAGCACTTTTGAGTCAAAAAAGTATTCCTATCAAAATGCAACAGACAGATAGGATATATGAACAATTCACTTACAAGACAGATTTTTCTTCCCTAAATTTAACTACTTAGAATATACCCAGTATTTTTCTTCCCCTGGATACTGATAGCTTTTTGAGCGATGTGGAGCAGTCAGGGATAAAAGGGTATTTTGTCTTGGGGCCAGAGGCTGAATTTTCAGAACAGCTTATCCAAGCTCCAGACTGCTGCCCAGCTTCTGCTTCCCACAAGGCTCCTCAGAGGGCAAATCTTTTGTGTATGACCTATTTTGATATCTGAGTCATTGTTCGTATGCTTTCCAAAGCAGCTCCAAATGACACCATTATATCCTCCTAGTCAGAACAAAGCTCAGGTGGGAAACAGATGGTGCAGCTGCACACTGACCTGTACCACTCCCTTCCTCTAGACTTTGCTAAGGACAGCTGTAGTCCTGATGTGTCAGGCACAGAGGCCACAGTTTACACCAGCTGAGCCACATAAACATTGTGAAAGGAATATCTTGCCTGAAAGACTGAAGACCAGGTAAAACCAGAAATGTCCTAACCCTAGCTCAGGAAGAAAGTCTACTGTAGACAAGTAACTTACTGAGCTTTTTTGCTAGTTTCCTTTCTGTACCACTTAGCTGCAATAGAGAGCATTGGCTTAGGAGGGAGATCAAGAACTCCTCCATTGTGGGGCACTTTCAAGAAATAAAATGCTATGTAATGCTACTGGCATTATTTCCTTCACATAAAAGACAGCTTACTTGCATGCTAAGGCTGCTTTCTGTCTTGCCTTTTATCCTTATGTAAAATGTTCAGTGCAAATCTGAGATGAGGTAGAACAATACAAATGACCACATATGCAAACAATTAAAAGAAACCCCAACAACCCAAATTAGCAATATTTATTACATTTGCTCACATTATCTGTTAGTTACAGATAGCTACATCCACCCTACAATTCATTATTATTTGTACCACAGTAGTACTTCAAAGGCCCCAAAAAAACAGGTCCTAGTTTACAAGGCACAGCACAAAACAGAACACAATCACTGCATCAAAGATCATTTAAGACAAGCTCAGAAAAAACAAAGTAAGCAAATGAGAAGATCAGGGAGGATGAGGGGAAATCAAAGGTGTCAAAAGATTTTCAGAATCCCTTAGAAACACAAGCCCTGTTGAAAGCCATTGGGAGAACAATCTTCTAAACCGTGTTAGAAAACACCTTTGTAAGTAGATGTTAAAAAAAATTAATTCCAGTTAATTTATTTGTTCATATAAAAAAATAGTTCTTTGTTACACATCAATGACAGGACCCTGCAGCAGTGAGGAGTATTTTCTCTAATATGACGTTGCCTGAAGACACTCCTGACCCTGACTCACTATGCAAATTCTGAAGGTCAACTGATAAAAAACAAAAAGCTGATCATGATCCTTTTACTTCCTTAAGCTGCAATCTTTACTTTGCCTACCAACTGGAAAAATAAATAGAATGTAATATCTCATGAGCCTGTTTTTTTCAGCTGCATGAATTAAAAAACAAACAAACAACTCCACACCACAACAACCCAAGCTTACTTCCCCCAAATGTGCCAAAAAAAACCCTTCAGCAGCCCAACCATTCCTGTGAATTTTATACTGCAGGAGCCAAATACTGTGCTGCACATTTTAGGCAGATAATATATAAATACATGTATTGTGCATAAAAAAAATTGATAAATATATATAAAAGATTTGCTTTGAATATATTAATTCAGTGGATGAAGAAAAGTAAAAAAATACTAAAAACAATGAAAACTTACAGCTTCTCTTCCAACAGTCGGGTAGAATGGGGTACCAAATAATTTTCTCCCATTGATAAATGCCTTCATTATGAAATTGGTCACTATTGAAAAAAGTTATTGGAAAACATCAGAAAAGGCACAACACTTTAGAAATTAGTGAACATTAATCATTAGCAGATGTTAATAGCTTACTTTTTCTGGAGACTCCAGCACCGAGATTATGATTCAAGTCAAAAGGATCTGTGTAAAGAAGGGAGAAAACCAAATCAGAATTGGAAAAAAATAAAATAAAAAAGGGTTTTTTTTCAGCATAACAAGAGAATTCCATTTGAAAAGCACTCAGGGAGTAGATGATAGCAAAGGAATGCTGAGTGTTCTGAAAATGTGACTAACCATAATAAAGCAAGAGCAATTTACTGAGATATGCTCAAAGTTAGGAGTCTAATCTCATTTTGTAAGCTGTACAATTTGCAAACAATGCTTTTTGTTTTTTAAACACTGACAGTTTCCTTGCACAAAGATCATGTGCAACAAGGAGAACAGATCCTCAAGCAACGGAGTTCCTCACTCCCTTGTTAATGGAGCAGGCAGGTACCTTCAATGGCAATGCACTTGGATGTCCACTGCTTCTCAAAGGTGGTCAACAGCTTCTTCTGCCGGATGCTGATGACGTACTCCTTGAAGTCGAACTCCTCGGTGTAGAAGCGCAGCAGCCCCAGCCAGAGCTCTCCCAGGGACTCCGTGTTCTTCCCGAGGGAGGGCAGGCGCCTCTTCTGCAGGCAATGGGACACAATTCAGTCCACGACAGTTCCTGGGGTACTTCTGCTCAGCTGCCTCTCTAATTAGGAGTTTGTCAGCCATGAACAAATTCACTTAATTAAATCACTACAGCTAACACTATGCCAACCCCGGACTATTTATCAAGAGTTAAAAAAAAAATTAAAAAAATTCCTCATTTATGTTATTTAGAAATTATTTTAAATAAACAAAGAAAAAGCAGACACTTATTTCAGCAAAATAGAGGTTATTTGGAAAGTTTAATTACTCCTTCATATATTAAACTGTTAGAAATTTATTACTTCCCTATAAAAACAGGTTTTAAGTTTTGGTGACTCTTCTGGTGTTAGAATATTACCAATTCTTCCATGTCATCAAAGAAAAAGGCATTCCATCCATCTACCATTCTTTGTGGAATCTGTTTTCCATCAAATATCTGCCGAAACAGAGAGGGAAACAGTTACCACTCTAATTCAAAGTCATCATAAAAGACTTTCAGTTTTGCTGGTAAGAAATAATACAAAACCATAAATCTTTTTATTGTAATAACTACTTCTTATAAAGGCAGAACTTCCCATTGGTAAAAAGTTTGAGTGTATTTTTTCATTACTGCTGTACCTCTCTCAAATTATTTGGGTATTTTATTTTTACTTGTTCTTTGCAACTAAGAAAACATGACTGGATTACCTCATCAAGATTCCAACTTCCCTCTTACCCACAAAATCTCTAAGGAGACTTTATATGACTCCTATTACATTTTGATTTAAGCAAAGCCAAGGGGAAATTCCACTGTTATTTAAATGCACTCTCAGGATAGCAATAAAACAACAATCCTCAGCTAAAGTATCAGCAAGAAAGTCTGAGTCTCAACTGCAGAGTTTAAGCCAACTTTCCTCTTGCATGCAGACAACAAAAAAAAGTCAGAAAGGGATAATTTTCAGGAGTGATTGGAAGAGGCTTATAGCTGACTAATTATATTCTCCCCACCCCTGCAATAGAGGTACAGAATGTTATTTTCTTAATAAAGTTTCCTGGCACACTCAGAACAGTATCTTTAAAGTTGTCCCAAAGCATTAGTTATCTTTTTTTTCCTCTCATTAAATCATAAAATAAACTTTGTCCTACAGATAAGGTGTTGAGCAATAAATAAGGATTCTAACAATAACTGATGGAAGAGCTGGACTCACATCTCAAGAGCATCTGGCACAGTCTCACAATTACAATTCCCTTCTCTCATACCACCTGCCAACTTTTTTCTGTCTTGTTCTGTATAAAAATACCATCATAAGACCAAAATGCACAAAAATAAGCATAACAGCAGAACGTAGGTCCAACAGATTCTCAATTCTGTTTTAATTTTCTTGGTAAGTTTTACTCCTGCTTGGTTTCATTGAGTAAGGAACCTGCTAATGCAGCAGGGCACCCTATTTCATTCATCCCATTGATCCTAAAAGCCTAGCAAACAGTGCACCTATGCTCAGATTTTCTATTTTCTGAGAACCTACCTCCTGAAGAACTGGAATTACTGGTGGATTTCTCTGCTGTAGAAAGTATAAAACCATGAGAATATAGGCATACGAAGACAGACTACCACGGGATGCATCACCAATGTCGCAGCGCTGAAAAAAACACATTTCAAACAAAATACTGAACTTAGATTTTATCATTCAAGACTAACAGCTATGTCAGAGAGCATAACAGAAGCCCCATCAGTAACAGAAAACACGTTCATTTCACAACTAAAAATTTTTTTTATGAAGCCTGAAAAATAGATGTCCTTAGAGTCAAGTCTAATCTGGCAAATCCACAGCGTAATTTGACTACATAAAACCAAAAAGCTTCTCATACCCAAAGCTGTGGGGTTTTTAGTTTATAATGCTTAAACTGAAAAACAAAAACCCCAAACCAAATAAAAACTCACCAAACATATTTCCAAACAAACCTCACATGTGATATCCAGATTTCAATACCATAAACTTTAATTTTCCTGAACTCACGTTAGTAGAGCTGTTTCTACGATTCCTTATTAATTCAGTTTCTTCCCCCTTTTCTTTTTCATAATTAATTGATAGGCAAGTATTTCCGTGTCACACTGGCAACTTAGGCAATACTTGGCATTTTGCTAGCACACATACCTAATTAAACCACAGTCCAGCCTGAACAACACAGCTTAAAATAAACATCATTGAATTACCTCACTATGCTTGAAAAATCCAATTATAGCCTAACTGTTCTACAGCACCTGCTTCTAAGCTACCCTTTGCTTCAACCATGTACTTTGGCACATTTTTAACCTCCTATGTCTGGAAAAAACAGGGATTCACAAATTCACATTAGCAGCAGTGACAGCTGTTCCTGGTTCTTCTGCCAATGCAAACAGAGAAGGAAGCATTTTGCTTAAACATGGACTATTTGTATAGCTATGAGGTCACCTCCATTCATATCCATTCAAGAGTGTATGTCCCACAACTCAGAAACTTGGTCTTTACAGTAAGCTTTATAGAATGTATACAATAGTATGCAATACTACAAAAAAGGAGGATTATCAATACAAGGCATTTTTAATCTTGACACAGAAGAGATGTGGCAATATTCTCCATTACTGTGATCACACCAAGAAAAAAGTCATTACTAGGCTGGGTGACAGTATAATGAACATGTACATTCCATTAAGGAACAAAGTTATTATATCCATCTTGCTGCATTTTATTCCATTAACATCTGGTAGCATGACACACCCTCTATAACCCTTTAATTCTCCCTCATTGCACTAAGTTTTCTTTGGGTGTGTTTGGGAAGCGTATTTAATAGTGCAGCTTGAATAAAAAGACACACCATATTTTGATTATCAGTCTGCACAGTGTAACACTGTTAGATTATCACGTGGAAAAAAAGATGCAACAGATTTGGTATTTGATACTTTCAAACTCTTCAAGTCACACCTATGTCCTAGGCACATCAAGTAGAGGCTTAGGCATGCATTCATCAACCCACACCTACTCCTGATTTTTACAGTAAGTAAAACAAGGCAAGGAGCCCAGAAGAAATCTGCAGTGATCTATGGGCTGGTCCTAGATATGGAAACTTGGGAAGTCTACACACAACCACATGGCACTATATCTTACAGTTACCATTTTTTTCCAGTTTTGTTTGCTTGGGGGTCTGATTTTTGTTTTGTTTTATCTTTTGCTTTATAGCTGGTTTGAAACTGAAAAAAACCCAGAAGTTTCCCTTTCATCAGCTTCCTCTTAGACAAAAGTCTTCCAACAGATAGCAGACGATGCCAGGACTAAAGAACTTGATTCTGACACACTCAATCAGATGGGAGCATAGTCAGCTTAAGAAGGTCCACTTCATATTAACAGCATTCTGCTGTCTCCTTTCCAGTTGCTGTTAGCAAAAGGTAAACTCAGTGGCTGCATCAGAAACAGTGTATTATACAAGTAAGTACCTTCTTTTTATATTACCTTTGCAAAAACTTTCATTGTATAGCCCAGATACTGCACCCTAGGATCAATAGCTGCATATGTAGCCAACATTCTTGTGTTATGCTGTGCCTGGGAAAAGGGGGGAAAGAAATAATCAAGCAAGTGTTTCAATATAACATATGGCTCATTATAGTACAGTCTGCAGTTCAAGCACAGGAGATGCATAATACAATTGGAGGGCAAAAAAAATATCACAACAATATTTTGTAAAATTCATGCAACATTTCCTGCACAAACATGACTGAAAGGTGTAATCAGGACAGTATTAATGCACTAACAAGAGTTAAGAACCAGCAGCACAAGTTGGAAAACACCAGCAAAAACTTAAGTCCATAAGATGACTCACAATAGAACAAATTCCACAAATTGCATCTTCTTCACAGGTGAATGTCAGCCCATTATGTAAGAAATGGTGCAATTTCATTGTGCTACATGCAAGCTGGGATGGGATGTACTATTCATGGTGGCAGAAAGGCCACAGTGAATGTGGCACTAACAGCTTCTCAAATGCATTCACAGAAATGCTTTGTGTGCCAGGACACTGCTCTGCCATGAGGCTGTACAGCTGCTTGGGTCAGGATGTGGGTATGGGCCACTGAATTTAAGCAATATAGAAAAAAAACCCAGACACCAAAAAAATTATTTTCATTCTGGTTTCAAAATTATTCCCTCAAACAATTATTTGAGTGAGTTACAAGGAACTAAAAAGCTTTCACAAAACCAGGCAGGAACAGATGCTTACCAGTGTATTGTACAAACTGATATCTCCTTCTAAGCCACTCCTTCTGTGTTCAAATTTTACTATAGGCACTTTGGCTGTTGTTATAGGCAAGATGTTTCTCAAACCTGGGGAAGCAACACTTTAGTACATAAAACATTTCCATTAACTACATATGTAATAAATGTAAATGCAAAGCAAATAATACTTCAAAACACCTACCTGGATGCTTCTTAAGAACTTTTGCCAAACCTTCTATTATTTCTTTACAGTTTAATTTCTAGGAAAAACAAATATCACAGCTTCAGATGTTAAAACATGAATCCTATCCCAACAGGCACATTTACTATAAAACATGTATTTCATAGAGGAAAAGTCTATGTATAAAAAAAAAGTAAACAATATGCTTGCACATGAATAGACATAAACTGCTGACTTGTATTCTTTATACTGGACACCTACACTACACAAAATGTGTGTTTATAGGGCATTAAAAGTAAAAAAAAAAGGTATCATGCTTCAGAATTTTAAGACCCTTAAAGAAGTCTTGAATGAATGTAAGATAGTTAATTTTATCCACTTCAAAACTCTTACCTCTGCATTTTCATGGCCTTCCAAAGTCATGCAGATATCTAGATCACTGTCCCGAAATCCAAATCCATTCTTTGAAGAGCCAAACAAGCAAAGTCTGGCTTTGTCTGAACAAAAGAGTAGACCAAAAAAAAAAAAAAAATAATTCTTTTACAGTTTAATCATAAGTGCTTACTATGGAATACTGCTTAACTGAGATGTGTAGGTGCCCATAAAAAATGAGCTTTAACAGAGACCTTACAAAGTCACTTTTAAGACTTCACCTCTGATAAAGTGGGAAGCACAATACTGTAAAAATTCTTTATAGAAAGTAAGGCAGGATGAAGTCCATGTAATTTTTATAAGTGAGGTACATTACAGAGCTACTATAACCATTAAATAGCATCTCTAAATGTGGTGTGATGTTTGTGGTATGTGACAGCACTTTCCTGTTTGAAATATATCAAAATGATGTGTAAACCCAGCCACCAGTACAGCTTTACCCTGCAGATAAGACATAGCTACCCTTAAAGTAGTTCAAGCAGTATTGTGGGTTCCATTCATACTTTATCTAGCTTGTGTATTTTTCTTCTGACTAGGTAAATTTGGTCAATCAGTAAGTTTCTGTAACCATAACATACTGTTCATGAAGATATAAACAATAAGATTAATATATATTATGGAACATTCTCTTCCAATTGTTTAGTTTACATTTTTGCCTGAAATACAATGATAGTGGATTTTCATTCTTGCAAAGGAAAGCAAAATTATGCCACTGAGAAGAAGCAATTTCCTCCTGACTGAAAAGAATACATTTATCTGTTCAACTGCAGCCAATGCTAAGAAAAAATATGTGACACCTATCCACAGCTTTTTCCTAACCTTTAAAAGAATCAGAAATTCTAAGTCTTTCAAGGTTCTGTGAGAGGTCTCAATGTTCAGCTGCTGCCAGTAAGCAGCAGGCAGAGCTAGAGGATGGATTGCAAGGCACAGTTCCTTGACCAGAGGCCAACTGCTGCAGAACATTTGGGCACCTGTGCAAAGCAATGTATTGAAATTCCAGGGACCTGGCTCTACCACTGTTTTACACCACATGCAAAAAACTACATTGCATCTCTGTGCCTTGACTTCCATCACTGTAGTAAGATACTTTCGTCTAATAAAAGGGAGATGAAGATAAATTCATTAAGATTTCTGAGATATTTAAACATTGGTGACTAGGCAAAAACCCATACTTGGCTGATGAGACAGCTTAACAGTAAACCCAACTAGGCAGGGCCTCTTCCAACTTTTTGTCCTGACTGTAATAGTCCTGTATCTGCATCATTATCTTCCTCCACTCTAGGGACATTCCACTTAGGGAATTCCTCCACTCTAGGGATATTCAGTTTAGAAGTCTGCAAGATATCTTCACATGGAGAAGGAAAAGAGATGCCACTGTTTTAAGCAAGGAAAATGAGTAATAATGAGACAAATTACATCTTTGTGCCCTGGACAATATGAATGAAGAAAGCATTATCAGGAATCACTACCCACTGTTACATACCATTATATTCTTTTCGAATAAATCTTTCCAAACTTGCCAGAATTTGTTCTCTGTTTTGTTGTTCAGATAAAGGAGGGGATAATTCATCTAAGTAAAAACAAGTTAAAACACAGTCAGATTTGACATTCAGCCACCTCAAAAATCTTTTTCAGCTAATTAGAAGTACTGGCTACCTTTTGGTTACATTTATCTTCCCTTAACATGTTTTTCTTTTTAATATCATTAGAGGTGTTAGGATTTTACTTCAGACATCTAATTATTCTGTAATTATTCAAGCACAGATCGGCTTGGTGGGCACCTGGCATCCAGCCAATGTTAACAGCACCCAAAAAGGGTTTTTTCCAAAAGAAACCATGGAATTTGCAAACACAAAAACTAGTTTTGCCCAGAGCCTACTTTCTGGAAACAGTAGTAAATTTTTACAAACCCAGGGAAAGAAACTATATAGCATTAGTTTCTCACATTTATTATAAGAATTTTATATCACAACCATGGATTATAAGAAAACAAAATATTGATCAATTCATAGGCTAGGGTTCCTGGAAGACCTTTTTCCCCCTGAATTTCCTGAAGTAAGTAATTTAACACCATGAGGCATTCTTTTTCTGGATTCCAGCTCACAGTTTACAGAGGAGTACAAACACTTTGCAACTCACCAAAACATCTTTTACACACTATATCAAGTATTTCCCGAAATCTGTCTGTCATTGGTGGTAGTGGTTTTAAATCAATTTTCTTGAAATCCTCTGGGCAGTCATTTTTGGAATGTCCATCCCGTTTGCAGATGCTGCATACTATAGTCGGTGGCTTTTGGGAGGAAACAGAAAGTGCACAAACGTGATTTTACTTTTAAGATAGTTCCACAGACCTGACATTTCTGTCAAAGTGATGCAATCAAGAGCATAACAGCAACAGAATCTTTACAAAGAACAGAACACCTCTCAACATGCTGCATCTAGTTCTCACAGTGCATAAGAGCACCAGGAAATTCTACACTAAGTAGGAAGAGGAGGGGAGCAAAATAAACCACACAAAACAATTAAAAAAAAAAATAATGGCATTTTTAGGTTGTTTTTTTTGGGTTTTTTTTGGTGGAAATCAGAAAGCTTTGCATAAGATGCAGGCAACAGATCCTCTAGTCCAAATGTCATGAAGTTTTGGTGTCTTCCAGGCCTGAACAACACTCTAAAGAGCTACTCTTTGTAACAGAGACTGAAATGACCACTGGGAGAATCCTGTCATCCATTCACCCTTGGTTTTAGTGATTTGAAAGTAACAGCCCACTGACACATGTCTAGCACTGCTTAAACACACAGCTTACCTTTCCTGAAGTCAAAATAATCTTATCAAACACATAATGCATTTCTTCTGTGGAGAGTCTGCCTTCATCTCTGAGCTCATGAGCTTCCAGGGTTGCTTTGCAGTTGGGAGAGGTAGCTGGTGTGCCAGTGCACTTACTCTTCTGAGAAGACTCTGTTACCAAACTCTGTCTGCTCTCAGCATCAGAAAATTCATTACCAGAATTTGTGTCATAGGGCTGATGTTCGCTGCACTTACAACGGTGGCTTAGCTCACCTTCAGCTGCACAAACTGAAACTTCTAAATCATCCCTCTCTTTAAGTGATTTTTGCTTTAATTCACAGCATTCATTAGAAATAAGGGATAAAGCCTCTTCTTTGTCTTCATCGTAACTAGAGTCCAATGTTGAAAGTAGCAGAGAGTCTGTGTTCTTGGAAGTACATCTTTTGGCTACAGCTTCTACCACTTCATTACATTCAAGTTCATTCTGTGGTATGTTACATCCACTTTCTCTATTTTCTTTATCCACAACTTTTTCCCCTTGTGGAAGGCAACAGTTGGCTACAGGCTCCTCAGATCTGGTGGATTTCTTATTATTCATTTTCCCTTTTTCTTTTTTCTTGGTATCTGGCTTGGATTTAATCCCATCTTTACTTTGTGGACATGCAAAATATTTATAGGCTGTCCTAAATCGCTCCAGGATGTACTCAAATACCATCTGGCTATTCAGACTTCGTGCAACATTCCTCTTTAGTGCAAAAGGGTCTAGAAAGAAAAAGGACAATTTCATTAGCCATCTTTAATTTCTACATTTCACTAAAGCAGATGAAATACCTACGTTACGATACAGCGGTTAAGAGGATATTCTTATAATATAATCCAGAATTGTATTTGGATACAGAGAACCTAAAGCCCACAAGGTTTTTTGGACTTCTTCCATACAAAACACAACACACGTGTGGCCATGAATGGTTGGCTATCACAAACCATTCTAAACAGTGTTATTTAGAAAGAAAACCACAGGTATATTGACCATTATATTATGGCCAATTTCTAAAGTAGAAATTAAAATAAACATACAAAGGCAAAGTAAACGCAGGCCTGCCTGAATGTTTTTTTCCCTTCACTGAAGGATTTGCATTTCCTTTAAGAAATTAATTTCTCTAAGAGTAACATTAAGGTTATAAGGATTATATGAACCAATCTCACCAGGTTTCATTCTTAGTCCTTCCTAGCGATTTCTAGATCAAACATGTTTTCCAAGTAAAAAGAGCACCTGCATAGTTGCTATAAGTTTGCCTGGGAAGATAGTGTCAAACTGAGACTCTGTTACTTCATAATTTCAGTTACAAATTTAACATTAGAAAAGAAAAAAAAAGGCAAAAATGAAAAAAACAAAAAAGTGGAAAAAATCATGAAACAAAAACAAGACAAAAAAACCCCCAACAATAACAGGTACCAGAACCAGAATGCAAGCTGTTTTTTGAAACTCTTTCCTACTTCTTCCTCAATAATTCATCATCATCTCTAGAAAGTGTCCAAAATTCATTATTCATGCTCTTATAAAAATATCACCTTAAATGGTTTCTTAATCTTCCTCATATACTCATATACTTCATTTTCTCTGTTCTTAAGGCCAATTCAGAATTCCATGTTTTGCTCTGTGACTTGCCCTGTTAAGTACTGTTTACATATTTTTCTGAGCAGAGGAAGAAAAATAAAGTTGTCTTCCAGTTACAAAGAAGTAACACACAAAATAATGTTCTTTCTTTGTCTCTCTAATATATAAAACACAGGGTATGTATTATCATCAAATTTATATGGTCTCACTCCCTTAAAAAAGCACTTTCCCTAGCAGGTTACTAAGGCCCTGGAGCAACACCTGCAATCTGACACCCAGTTTCACAGCACGGAAATAGTGTCAAGAGGGAAAGGGAGAAGGGAGGGTGCTGGGGGGTGAGGTGTGTTACTGTGATGGGTTTGCTCCAGTCCACTCTAATCAGAGCTAAGTTCTCTACTCCATCTGCATTGTAGTCAGAGGAAAAACTAACAGCTGGTAACGCTCAAAATACAATGTGGTTTTCAGAAATGCAGCTAGAAGTGCTGAAAATCTGTGATATCAGAATTATTAAAAAACAATAAAGGCTTAAAGAAAAAATGAAGTACACAGAGGTAAGAAGAGTGTGGTAAGAAGAGAATGGAAAGAAACAGTGAGATGAATTTACACTTTCTATTTCAAGGATCAGCATTGCAAAAAGTAGCACTAACCAGAAAATGTCTTTAAACAGCCTAAATAGCTGACAAAATTAAAAAAAAAAAAAAAAAATTATTACTTTCTCCTCCCATCATTTATTTATTGTCCAGACTTCTTGTGATAGATCTGTAAGAATTAGAAAAGAACAGTAATGGTAAGAAGAGAATGGAAAGAAACAGTGAGATGAATTTACACTTTCTATTTCAAGGATCAGCGTTGCAAAAAGTTGCACTAACCAGAAAATGTCTTTAAACAGCCTAAATAGCTGACAAAATTTAAAAAAAAAAAAAAAATTACTTTCTCCTCCCATCATTTATTTATTGTCCAGACTTCTTGTGATAGATCTGTAAGAGTTAGATAGATAAAAACAGTAATGCAGGATGACTGCAGAACTGGAGAAGGGCGTTACCCTACCTTCAATGGCTATCCGCCTTTTAGGCCAGTTTTTATTCTCTCTGGTTAAGAGTTCTTGTACCCGTATGCTGATGACATATTCCTCCAAAGCAAATTCCAGTGTGTAAAACTTCAACAGTTCTAACCACAGTTGCCCCAGTGAAACTTGATGAGGGGTTTTGAATGCTAAGAGAGACTGAAACACAGAGACAAAAATGCTCAACTGGAGTAAGAAATTAAAATGACCCATTTTTTTTCCTGGTTCCATCCAAAATTAATGTTTAAAGATAAAAAACAGGGCTAAGAGATAGATGCAGTTTTGACTGAAACCAAGCTATGACTTACATTGCCGTGTTTCTCCTTGGCATTACTTTGGTTGTCCACTTCCGAGCTCGTTGCCTTCTTGCCACCACCTTTTTGTTGCTCAACTTTAGTTTTACTTTCTGCTCCCACAGAGTTTTTCGCTGCACCGTTTGTTGGTGGTTTGTACTCCCACCGTACAAACTCCTCTTCTTCTACACCTTTCAGCTGGTGGTCATCTGGCCTCTTCGAATCAAAGCCTTCAATCTAACAACAATTAAAGTAGCTCTGAAACAAGACTGTATATAATACATAAAAGCAAAGTAACACTGGCAACGAGCTACCAGGTAACACTGACAACTGTGATATTTATCCCTCTCAGGAATAACTGATGTCAGAGAATTAAAGAAGTAAATCTTTGCCTTTTCTCCAAAATACAGCACAATGGTGCAACTGCCCAGGCTGTAGCAGCTGCCTTTTTTTAAAAGTCATCCAAATCATCACACATCAACTCTGTGAGGATTACATCCTGATGAATACTATTTACAAAATTCTTAGGCAATCAAATTCTGCATATTTTATGACCTTCCAGAACAAAGAAATAACGTCAACAATTCAACAGTAAAGTTACTGTGTTACCAAATCACTTACCCAATTGCCCAAATAGGATGGTAAAATACGTGGTTGTCTTTGTTGAAGAAAAAATATCACCATTAAGGCAAAGGAATATGAGGGAATCCCACCTTCAGCCTGACAGTCAATGTGGCAGAGCTGTAAGAGAATAAATCATTACTTTTCTGATCTAACATCAGCATTTTCATTTAAAATCTATTATAGAAGGACAAATCTTAAATAAATGTGAGATAACTACTAGAGTAAAACAAATTCTTTAGCTCAGAAACTGCAGTCACCGTGCCACATACAGACAAACTGCAAATTACAGTAATTCACACAGTGCCTTAAGTTAAGCTATTTTACTACACATTGTTCTCTTCAGTTTCATCACATTCAGTGATCGTGGGACACATCTATGTTCCTATCTAGAATTTTAGGCAACCATCAGGTATTTGTTATTGTGTGATATCTCATGTACAGAGACGGGGATTCTACACATCTGACTGTACTCTGATAACTGATCTCTTCTGTGGGAACCCAAGAGGGATGTAATAAATGTGTTTGACTTTGAACAGTTCTTTGTAGTTTCTATTGCTGCTACTTGTAGCTTGTAAAATGGGATATTTTCCAAAAACACCTTGCTAAGTCAAGCAACAATAACAGTGCTATGCAACTGATTTTTCAATAAAGCCAAGACATTACAAGGCAAGCATGGCCTGGCAGCAATTTCAGGACCGAATGACAAGTCAGTTAAATGCTGGCTGTGACCACTGTAACTTGGTTCCTGTGATCACCGTTGACATCTGTAAGAAGTGCAGCAGGGTATGATGAGAGACCCTTTTTTGAGCAAGTTAACTTTTTCGATGTGCCCTCAATAGCAGAAAGTTTGCAAGACTGAGCTTGTTTTCAAGGATCAATTAATTAATTTTGAGGAACTAGGGTAACAGCTCACTATCAGAAGAGTGGAAGCATCATATATATATTCACAATTTCACACCAAAATTTTCAGTTTCATTCTGGCCTGTTAAGGTAAGAGGTGAACTAGTGGCACTTCTTTTCTACAAACATATTCATGATATATTATACATGACATTGTATGCTGTACTTAAAAAGGGGAAATAAACATATTTAGTTATCCTCACTATTTCTAGACTTACCCTAGCCCAGTAGCGGAAAGCCAAAACCAAGGGAATAAGGACAGGCTCCAGTTTACCAAGTGCAGCCAGCAAGTCAGTTGTAAGGCAAGCCACATCATTTCTAGCACTTACTTTACATGTCAAACCACTGCAATTATCAAAGAGAAAAAGTTATTGCCTGGTGTATACAGGTGATGCCTGGGGCAGGGGGGAGGTGGGGCATCACATCCACCATAATAAAAACATGCATCAGTGTCTCCATATATGAGAATTTGAACTTTTTAAACAAAAGCTACAGAATATAATGACATTTATTTAGTGTTAACTCATCTGTTGATCTATAACTTACAGAGTTTCATTACAGCTGGAAATATAAAACAGCATTAAGAATTTGCTCTAAGTTCTGCAGTTACTTAATTGTGTAATCTTGAACAACTCAAACTCCATGTGTATCTTCCATATAACAAATAAATACAAACCCCAAGCCTGCTGCATACTAAGAGTTGGTAAGTCCACAAAACAGCTTCTCTAAAACCTTCCCTTTTCCTTCTCAGAATAATTGTGTCTATTCTCTTAGTAGTTATGAGACATTTGCATATTCTACAGTCACAGGAAAAGGTATGCCCACCCTTGTTTTATTTACATCCCCAGGGCTCAGTCACATACCTGTAGCCAGTCAAAGCAACACGGACACCATACAACAATCAAGTTTCATTTTTGAGGTTGCTACATTTTAGGAATTTACTGAAGCTGTCAGATGATGTGTCCTTTCTGGCAATGTGTATCTTATAAAATGTTTTTAAAGCCTTGGATTAAACTGCTAGCAGAATTTTTAAAAATCAACTGAAAATCATTCCACTTTTTCCCTATTTAAAAGGAGAATGGCTGTTTTCAGACTACTGTAACTAATGAGTTCTATGAAGCACAAAAAAAAAAGCTAAGCTTTCTTTCTAGACTGCATTTTTGTGTGAGAGCAATTCTCTTTTAACATGAGCTTTAGCTACAAGTTAGAGCAATACTTCTTGTCAGGAGTGCAGGGAAGCAGCTGCTATCAAGAAGCATGGGAGAAACTGGTATCCCATGAAAACTCTTTTTCAATGACACGTACCTTTTAACATCTTTGCAAAAGACAACAGGAACTTTGGCATGGAAATCTGACTCCACATCTGTGTAGACAGCTAAGCAAGGTGGAAAAAAAAAACCACGTTATATATGAAAGCCTTTTACAGTTTTCCCAACTGTGTCTTTATTATATTTATACTATGCTTTTACAGAACAACTCAAATTAAGTGCTGCATAGTTAACCAGTAAGCAATATTTTGTGGTTACTTTTGATGGTCACTACCAGTATCACACAGCCAGCGGTGGGAGGGGAGAAAAAAGAAAACCCCTTGTCAGGAAACTGGGCTGGCATCTCCTCTAGAACCTTTTTTTCTCTATAACATCCAAAAGACACAAGGTTGAATCTCTGACAAACCATCAGGATAGCCTGAGAAGCTCTTATGGAGCTGACTTCTCAAAAGTTCCTGAAGGATCAAAACTGCAATGCTACTAGTGTTACTTGATTCAAGATGGGCAGATTACTGGGTTAGATATCCTCCTTGTTCTGTCAGGAACTTAAAAGCTTCAAAAGTCTTGTAATAGTTCTCACTGATCTTTATAAGCAAGTGGGAAGGGGCTTTTGGGTTTACTGCTTAGAATTTCTCAAACAAATATTTTTTGACGTGGCATCTACCACTACTAACCTTAAATTCTGGCAATCTGAACTGGACTACATGGGCTGCCATTCTCCCACTGCAGGTTCTCATCTCTCACTCACACAAGCACTGGTATTCATAAAAACCACATGCATAAATACAGCTCAGATACTCCAGTTGAAAACTAATTTATTTTGTAAATTTACAGAAAAATTAAGCATAAAAACAACAGAACAGCAGTTGGAATGTTAATTAAACAGAAATGAGATGCAACTAAAACTCACCACTGTTCTTCAAGATTTCAAGCACCTGTATCAGAACATCTGGCTGACTCATCTAAATTGAAAAAATCAGAGCAGATTACATTATTCAGACTAACCTACTATATTTTACACTGTTTAAAACTACTTAGTAGCAACACTACATTCTCTCACAGAAGTGAAGTCACGTGTCAGTATATATGAAGTCACCTATCTGCACCATGAAGATAGGGACTAGTAAACCTAGTAGCCAGCTTTCTTTTAGTCTACAGCTTTCTTAGTTAATACTTTTGCTCTAGTTCCATATTAACAGAATCCATAAGGTTAAAACAAAATACTTGCAACATACTCTACTTCAATGTCAATATATGCCACTAGAAACTCACAACAGTAAAGAATTTAGTGTCAGTACTTTCCCAAGGGTTTTTGAGGGTTATAATTTTTAAATGTGTTTTCTCCCTAGTAGTCAACTTAAGTGTGTTTAAGAAAAGGTGTAAGTAGTTCAGAGAAAAACTGAAGATTAGCATCACCTTTGAACCTTTGTGAAAAAGTGCATGGTGCACTCCACATGGACTGTTTGAAAAATGGCTCAGTTTTACTTCCTAACTGCAGTATCATTTCAAAATGCTATGTGTAATTATGTACTCCAAAGACATATCTTGAATTAAACAGTAACACATATAGTTAAAAAAAAAAAAAAAGAGCAACTTTAGCAGTTGTGTCTCTAACAACTATGTGCTGAACATGAAACAACAATTTCAGCATTTAAAGGTAAGTGATAGTGCTCTGCAGGGATTTTGTTCTACAGTAATCTGTGAACTGGGATGTGACATCTTCTTGCAAGTGAATAAAACAAAATAGTAAATTGTCACTTTTGGCACCACCTTTCAAAGGAGGGAGTTGAGGCTTACTCAAAAAAACTTGGAAAGAAAGAAAGAAAAAGGCTAGCATAAGACTGGCAAAACTCAACAGAATTCAAGTTATCAATTCTGACTATTCTAATTCCAGTGCTATTCTAATACTGCATGCCCCCCAAGAAGATAAAGGCCATGGGCTAGAAATACATGTCGATGTCCTTGATTTAAATAAACAGTCTGAAGTTAATACAAGATAATATCTACACACCTTAGGGGGGAATTTGATGTCAATGTTAACATCGCTGGTCTTAAAAGCAAACCTAGTTAAACAGGAGCCATACATCCTCAGTGAACAGTCTGGAACAGAGAGAAACAGAATTATTTAACAGGTAGTAAAGAAATTATTCTTTAATGTGTAATGCATACCTTGCTTTAGATACTGTAACTCCCCAGTAGTACTCCCAGGTTAATGAATATTGAACCACTTTCTCACTCCTGAGGGCAACATACATCACAGGAAAGTGGATAATTCAAATAGCTTAATTATCAAATGTCCACAACTTTCCAAGCTGCTTTAAATTATTTTTGCAATGCAGCTTTAGTTCTGGTTTTACTATTTTATACTATTTTAACACAAAATCAACTATGAAATAGTAAAAACTGTCACCATCTCAGTGCAGGATTTTATTTAATAGCTTTGGTTATCTACAGCTTGATCTCACTGCAGCAGTTAGCCAATTATAAAATTCTTCACTGCCTCATACACTTCTGTCAAAAATTTCTTTTTAAGTGCTACAATCTGTTTATTTTCATTAGCAAGTCCTATGCACAGTTGATTATGAAACACCCATAGAGAATGTAACTTCAATGTAAGCCAAGATAAAAAGTATCCACTTAGTGTTCCTGTAGTTAACACAGTTCCTTACCTGCCAAGATGGACAACAGATCTAAACTAACCAGAAATAACTATTCAGTAATAAAATAACTAGAAATGTCTTTGCACTCCATTAACAACTATTTATCCCATAAACAATTTATCCCACTTTATGATATAATTTTTGTAGATTAAAACTTTCCTGTAATATGTATTAGAGCTCCAAAATGTTCATGTCAGCTGAAAATTGAGACTATTCTCAATCCCTTCCAAATCCAACACATTGCTCAAGCAGGGTCACCTAGAGCAGGTTGCTCCAAACTGCATCCAGTTGAGTTTTGAACATCTCCAAGGATGGAGAGTCCACGACAACTCTAGGCAATCTCTGCCAGTGTTCAACTGGCCTCCAAGTGAAGAAGGTTTTCTTGAATTTTTTTCTTAGTATCTTTGTGTCTTGACCAATTCTCTCAAATAGAACCAGAACAAAGTAATTCGTAAAAGAGAAAATAAATCCTATGCATATGCAGCTTCAAACAACCTTTTCTCTATTTTCCAATTCTTATAAACTAGCCCTCTCAAAAAGAATTTTTGTATCATAAACAAAATAATTATAATTTATAACTGTAATTACTTCCAATGGCTCTTCATAATAGTGGGAATTTTTGCACAGTTCTAACATGCGCTCAAGAGAAAACCATGCCAGAACATCCACGGTTTGCTACGCTGTGCATAAATTAATTTTCTCCCAATTTACAACTCAGGAAAACACATTCACTAGAACAAATTGTCAATTACTAGGACAGCCTCCCCCTCCACTACTACTATACCTCCAGGTCAGCTCACCAGTCCTAACAAGTCAGCCAGCTGAGCAACACCTACACTGTAATTTTCATGAGTCTTTATGCAAAAGGAATAATTTCCTTTGCTCTGTCTTATGCTAATCCACTATCAGGGAAAGACACAATAGTGTGTCAGAAGTTTGCAGCAGGGGCCATAAATGGCAGTAGTATAAAGCAAACAGATTAGCAAACCTCCACTCTGCTAGCTCCTGTTTTGTACAGCACCTTATGTTTAAGCATATATTTAATGTTGCTCCTAAAACTAAAACTCATCATCCTGCAGAAAATAACCAACATCTTTCTTATTAGTGTATTTTTTATAGAGCAAAGGGAAAAAAGAAAGTACTTCTAAAATAGAACGAAAGTATAGAATATCAACCTGTTTCAATATAGATTAAATAAAAACTTTGAAAACTTGGGTTTTGTCAATGAGAGTAATACTTTCTTCTGTTCAGATTCACTGGAAAACAAAACACTATTAACATAATGGCAGCATTAGCTCCAAAAATCAGCTCTCAAACACAGCGTGTATTTAACCATAGGTCATGAAGGAAAATCAATGCAAAAAAGCAAATGTCAAAGACTAACTGTTATATTATTTGTACTATTTTATTTTCTAACAGTAGTATAAATTGGATTTGAATGTCCTACTAAAGTAACATACTCTATTTCTGAAGGAGAAGACTACTATTCAACTTATTCAATTTTTAAGAACTCTATTAATGCACTGAACTTTACTGACCAACTGAAGCACAAAAATGGGACTAAGCACTTAAGAATAATTTTTAAAAGTGAGTACTTTGTTTTTAATTAATATAAACTTCAATTTTAAAAAAGGCAGATGAGGTATGATAGAATGATTAAGTAAATATAATATTTTCACCTATTTAAGACAACTCAAGAGACTTTGGGAAGCTATAGCTGATCCCAAAGTACACCCCTCCTCATTTTAGGACCCATAAATATACAGGGGAATAAACACATGTTAAGCAATAACCCATGTTGATTTTAATGGCTTGTTTTAACAAACAGCTACCAATTAGTACCTGCAGATATTTTAAATCACAACTAAGTACTGAAAGTGTCTCACAGGCTTACCAAAAATCACTCATAGTTGAGGACTTTTTTTTTTTTTTTTTTCCATAAAACTGTACTCTATAAAAAACAGAACCAAGCAACTTTTATCTGCCCTGAAAGATGATAGAAAACACTGAAGGACCAAAAAAAAAAAAAAAAACACCACAACACACCCACACATCACATTTCAAACTCCTCATTTCCCTCCCTGCTCAATTTATATTAGTCTAATTCAAAGTGCACCTGAAAAAAAAAAAAATCTCTATTGTAACAGCCACAGATATCCAGTAATGCTAGGCAAGGTATTGGTGGAAAGGCTCGTCAGACTGGAGCTTGACAGAGATCCTCAGGGATGGAGGCTTTAAACACCACGAGGAAATTTCTAATCTTCATTGGAAATCATCACTTTAACGGGGACCAATAGCTTCAATAACTACATACCAGAAAGAAGGAAAAAAAAACACAAACCACAATCATACTCTTCTCTTTATGTAGGTTTGTTAGTTCCTTTTAAATCAACTGCCAATCTGTATTAAAATGCCTGTATATAACAACATTGTGTAATATAAAGATAACTTAACCCCAGACGCATTAATTCACCATTAATGAAGGTATCAACATCTGTGTAAAAATACAGAAAAAGACAAAGTTTCAGCATTCAGAAAATGGAAAATACTATGAATACCTGGTAAAGGCTGTTGGATAATTTTCTCCATCTCGTTTACAATTTCTTGACGAATTCTGAAGTCATCATCTGATATGCCTTGTTCATTTGCTGCCTCAATGAGTGTAAAACTCAGGGCAGCCAACTGTGCAGGAGAGGGAGGTGGGAGGGCACGCAGCTCATTTTCTTCTTGTTTTTCCTGAATAATTGTTGGATGATAAAAGCAAAAACAGCTATTTTAAGAGAAAAAGGTTATCTCACACTATTGCACGATATTAAAACGTGCTGTTTGCTCTGTGTGTTCTTCTATTTACATGGTACCCTGACCAAACACTTTCAAATGTAGGAACTCTGCCCAGCCTCACTGGCAAATGTAATAGTGTGGCTCACAGAAATGACAGTGGATGCTCAGTGTTTAAAAGAGAACATGTTGTTTCACAGCTGGCAACTGGGGAGGAAATCTGCTGCATTACATTCCTGAATCACATTTTCTGTCAGTTCTGAAACAGAATTCATCCAATGAAATGAAAAGCTGTAATTGTTCCTACATAATAGAAGTAACTAAGCTGAGAAAGTTCTCTAGAGTCACACAGATTTTTTCAGAGTGGATTGTATTTGAAGGAAAGAAGTCAGAGGCAGAAAAGTACCCCTAGCTTTAAGAAATTTTAGTAAGATGTTGCCTAAACAGCTGGTGCCAGAAAGTGTTGAGTTTAGTGCAAATTATAATCAATTTAATCCAATGGCAAGGAACACGTCAGATATATCAGGTTATTTGGGAGTCAGTACAACAATCATTTTTTTCACAGATTCATCAACCAAATTAAGTATGTGACTGACAACAGAAACAAATAATAACCAGAAATCATGCACTAAGAAAATACAGTCCAGTATGAAAATCTTTGGTTAGTTCTAGGCTACAACTCTCAACTCCTCTATTCTTATTTGAGTAGATTTATCATAAGGAAAAAACACCAGTTTGGGGTTTTGCTTGAGCAGAGAAGCCACAGCTGCTGCTAACCTTATTTGATGGTCGTGTTTCTCATAGCTGAAGCTGTAAATAGGTGTCTTTTATGAAGTAACACTGAGAGAGTTACATACCCCTCATTATGGAGTGTGGCACACAACACAAAACTATTTGAAGACAAGTGTTAAAAACTGAAACCACTCCCTGTCCTCTAGTATTTAAAGAAACCTCATGTCTCAGTTCTTATCTCCACGCCCAGATGAAAAGCATGGTACAAAAGTGTTTCCATATCAAACATGGGGCTGGTTTCATGCCTTTTTTTTTTTTTTCACTCTCTTTTCCAGACACAACCCCCCCATGATGCAATTTAGCAGACAGTAAGAGAACTAGAATCCTTTACAAATAACAGCTGAACATAAAACAAAAAAGCTTCTTTCTGAGACATAATGAATTTAAAGCACTCAGTTTTCCAGGGGATGGCTTACATGTATGATAGAATTAGAGCATTAATTACTAACAGATGTATGGTAAGTAATACATGGAAATTGGAGTAATTGACTGAATTTTGAGGAATGGTTCTCGGAAGAGTAATTTTAGCCATATGAATCACAAAACCTGACTTAGGGAGGAATTTGTAGCTCTTCATCAGCATTTACAAAAATGGGTTAAAATAAAATCCATGCACCTTTTATTTGGTTTCATGCAGAAAGAAGGTCTTCAAAGGAAAGCAAACAGTAACACCATGTTATCTGATAAGGAAATTTGTTTTTCTCTTTGAAAGCCTTAGAAATGTTTTTCATATTGAGCTTGGATGGGCCTTTGAGCAACCTGATCTACTGGAAGGTGTTCCTGCCCACAGCAGGGCATTTGGAATTAGATGATCTTTAAGGTCCTTTCCAACCCAAACCATTTTATGATTCTATGATAGTAAACACATTCATAAACCCAGGGAGATGATGAGTGACTCAGGAACTGAATCCCTCCCTATTTAAATTCTCCTGTTTCAGTCTCAACATGCTATCCACGCTGCTCACCCATCACAGAAAGGATGTAGATTAAAACTTCACAAGTCAGACAAAAGAGAAAAAACAGAAATAAACAACATCCTCAACTACATCTCCAGTCCTTGAGGGTCTGAAGTGCTGGGGTTAAAACCCCAGCCCCACATGAGGATTGGCATGTGGATGATGTCCACAACCAGGCAAGAAAGACCCTCCTGATTGGTTTTCACCCAGGGTCTGACCAGCCTTGGGTGGGAACTGACCATGAGATCACCACCAGGTGCCCCCACCTTCAGCATTAACTTGGAGGTGGGGCAAGAATCCACCTCTATAAGAGCTGACAGTGGATGTGCTGTGTGGGAGTTCTAGTTAACAAAAGGGCTCCCCAACTCCTCATAGCAAGTGGAGCTCCCAGGTTTGTGGGACAAGATGATGAGTCTCTCTTTGGGAAACTTCTACATAATTGGATTTCTTGTCTGGCTGGTTCCATCTCCCACGGCATGGTTCTGGAGCCAGCTCACTCCCTGCTGCACAGCCTGTAAGTGAGTGTATTGACTTGCTCCTCCCTCCAGTGCTCTGCCATGGTGGGTCATTGGTGTATGATTTGAGAGCAGAGGGAGGGCTTTGGTTGCTGGTTTGCCCATTAATGACAATATCCTTCCTAGCTGGGCAAGCTGTCAGTAGAAAAGGGTGCTGCTACCAACATTATTATTTTTGGAAGAAAGAGAAAAACTTTCTCACAGCAGTTACCTTGCATTCTGCTACTAAAACTATGATGAACTGCTCACTACTCAGACACTAATTCAGAAGCAATAACTAAAAAAATTCTTTCCTCTCTGCCTAGACAGATCATCAAGCCCTTACTCTCAAACAAAAACACAAGCGACAGAATTCTGTGGATCTCTGCTCAGCACAGAAGCTTTCACCTAAATGAGGATGACCAAAGAAAATATACTACATAATAAGTAATCTTTTTTTAAAAAGAAAACAGAAAACATCAAAGTTTTAACTTACCATTATATTTTTCTTGTGGCGTTTTTCTTTAATATGCTTGTGAGCTCCCTGGATGTTTTCAATGTGAACTAAGCAGAGCTTGCATAGATACTGACAGTTGGTGTATTCTGGGGAGCGCTGAGGAAAAAGGGCCATAGATTAAAAGAAAATGTTTCTGCCAATAGTGTCTGAAAAGCTCAACTCTTTGAATAATAAGTTGTATTTAACAATTACGTAACACTTGTCAAGGTGCTTTGCAAACATGAAGTAATCTTCCAAAACACACATCAGACATGGACTTTTACCCATATGACAAGTGGGGAAAGCAAGCAAGGAATGACTTGAATATTACACTCCTCTGTAAATTTTTGTGAGGTAAGATTAAGGCTTAAGAGTTTATGCCTCTTTAGGCTGACCTGCAGGCCAGTAAGCCATTCCCTTGTCAGCTGAAGCTTTTAATAACTATGGATTTATTAAATCTCAGCATCTATCCTCCTTTCTCTGATGAGAAAATGGGAAGTATTCATCATATTATCTACTATACGTGTCATGACAGATGGTGTTGTTGTTTGGCTAGCATGTTCACAGCCTACTGTGCAAGTACTGCATTTTTGTTCTATTAAAAAGGGTGCGGCTGGCCAACGAGGAGGAGAGGCAGTGTCTGACTTCCTAATGACTATAGTCTGGATAAGGTGGGATCCTCTGACAAAGGGTAAGATTATTCCATTTTGATGAATAATTTGGGATGCTCAGAACTGAAGAAACATGCAGAACAAGCATCTTTTTGTACAGACAGGCTGGGAGAGATGGAGTGTGCAAATGGAGAGCTGACACCTGGGAGACCCCTGCAAGAAGCAGTCAAGACCTTGGAGAGGGTGGGGGTGGGCAGAAATCACTTTTCCTAGGGTCCAAGAGAGGACACTGTGGAGTTTATTCAAGCAGGAAACCTCTGCAAATTACTAGACTAAAAGGCAGAAAGGAGCAGCTCTCCAAAGAAGAGGGGACTCCCACTTTATTCTGTCTCGTCCTGCAGTTGTGTTTTCTTGCTCTAATAAAACACAGCTACAGAGATTATAAACCTTTTGATATGCCCACTGCAAAGACAAAAGGGCCTCAACAAAAAGCCTTAGATTTCCTCCAAACTTGTTAGCATTTTTCCAGTAACTGCTATCAGTTATAACTGGGACAGAAGGAAAAAAAAAACCTACTTAATATTTTCATTCTAATACATCAGTATTTACTAAAACTGAAAAGTATACTGATAACACCAGATGTTTGAACAATGACATAACAAGGAATGAACAGAGAACACCCTTTTAAGACAAAGCGGACTACAAATCAGTTAAAAAAATTTGACTTACTATATGGAAACTTAAACCACTGCTAATTTTGGGCAAGTTTTTTCCACTTACTGAGTTTGATCTTTTGGTTTTGAAAAACAAAGAAGAGCCTGATACTCTCCAACTGCACAGTAAATATAAATTTAAAGTAACATGGTCATCAAGTTTTTATTACTAATTGTCTTCATCCTTATTTTCTATGAGACAGATACCTATTAAGATGAAATTAAACATTAATTTGGAAAACAAGATACAGACAGTTACACTTGGCTAGCTTGGAAGATTCATGTATTCAATACCTGATGACTGAAGAAGAATGAAAAAAATTTTACCACTCTTCTAAAACAGAATGAATATTACCCAATTTTTAAAAATTTTATTATTGCTATTTCTTTACAATACCGATCTGCAATATTATGTCAACAGATGCAGCCAGAAAGGTTGAATCATATGTTGCCTTTTATTCTACTTTATTGTAAAGCCTTTTCCAATCATCTAATTATGCTTAACACTGATGAAAAGGACAAGAACTCAGAATAGCAAGATAAAACAAAGCTCCAGACTACTACTTGAGTAAGATAGATGGATCCAAACAAGCCAGGCCTCATGAATTTTGTACATGGATATTCAAAGAACCAGCTTGCTTCAGTCAGTTGTATTTTGAAGAACTCACAGAGCATGGAAAGCTTCCAGATCACTAAGAAACAAACTTAAGCATAGCTTTAAAAGGCAAAAGAAGATGAGCCAAGGAATTAAGAGAGTGGCCAGAATTAGCACTCAAATATACTGTAATAAAATAAGTTATTAATATGCACATAAAACAAGTCATAGGTGAGAAACTGATCTGCTATAAACAAATTCCACTAAAATTTTTAGGGTTGCTTTTTTGAAGATAAAAACGTAAGACTTGAGGAAACAGCAGCAGAAGCTGTCTGTTGAATTTTACAAAGCTTTTGTCACTTGTGATAGTATCAATCTCAAAAGGAGACCATAAATGCTACCTGAATAAACAACAGTAATGTAGGAACAAAACTGCTCAGAAAACTGTCCTCAGAGCATACATGCCCAGACTCATTCTGCACCAGTCTAAAAGCATGTGTCAAGTATTTTTCAGTGAGGGTCCTTCTAGGGTCAGAAATTTTTTTTTTTTTTTTTTTTTAAGACTTAGGAAATGCAATAGAGAGTGTTCTCACTACAAATGCAAAAAGTGCCAAGCTGGGAGAAGTGACTGAAGATACAAAATGACAAAAATCCAGTGATTACAACAAATTAAACTGAATAAATCAGCTGCAACTAAATAATACCAAAACAAAGAATCATGCCTTCTTAGTTATTATGAGCCACAAACAATATAGGGCTGGAAACACCTGATGGGGCCTTTCTTAAGAAAAGGACATGGGGAACATTGCTGGTCAGACTACAAGCCAAATTACTGCTGCTGAAAAAGCAGAGTTCTTAAGCACAAATGCTGTATTTCAGACAGATGAAGTCAGCTCTCCTTTTTATACTTGAGACCTCAGCTGAGATTGCATGTCCAATTTTGGGTACCCGTTACATGGCAGATGCCTGCAGAAAGGCAGCAAGAATGAACCCCTGAGACTGAAGAACAAAGAGTGAGTCTAAAAAGGTAAGACTTCAGGAATGGTAATGATCTTCAAATGTGCAGGAATTTGCAGAAAAAAAAAAAAAGTTTATTTTCCTAGGACAATATATAAGGGACTAAACTGCTGCAAGAGACACTACAGACAATAAGGAAAACTTTTGGGTTACCTATCCTGACTTTGAAATCTGCTTCACTGGAGATAATACGAAGAAGAGTTTAGATGAATGCTTTTAAGGAGTCAGGGCTAGGCTAATACACTGAAGATACCACAAGGTTCCTTTCAACCCTCTATTCCAAGTTCCCAGGTAACCAGACTTTCTCAAAAATCTTGAGTAAATGGAACGAATTGTAAACCTTTAGGTCTGCAGAATTAAAAAGTACTTTTCTAGAAAGGCTACATCTGCCACAAAACAAGTGTTAAATTTCCAATCCATATCATCTGCCACGATGAATGACTCGTCAGCTACTAGGGATAATACCTCAGATCACAAAAGTGATTCATTATAAAGAAGAGAGGCAACAGGCTGCAGTAGAAATATCACCCAACCAGAAAGTATGGTGATGATAATGAAAGAAGACACCCATTTTCTTTTATCTCTAATAAATAACTCAACCTACTTTTTCAAGTCGGGAGATATAATCTCTTTCCAGACTGCTTGTTTCAATCCTAGTTGCTGTTCAGCTGTCAGATTAGATTCATCAATAACAGTGGTGGTTTCTAAGTAATCAGCTTCCAAAGGATGTTCTTTAGTTGATTCAGAATTCTTCATTTTACCTAGAGAAAGAAATATTTTCTTCTGAGTAACTCAAGGAGAGGAAAAGTGAAAGTTAGAGTGCACAGCAGTTAAGAGCATCTCACCAAGGAGCTGAACACAAATTAGAGCTATATTCCATTTTTTTTTTGTCGAAAGGCTGGTCAAAATCACCTTAGACATTAGAATCTTTCCGGTATGTTAACATTTTGGAGAAACTTCAGAGACTAGTCTACTCCTAAGAGTGCTATCAGAAAGAAAAAATAAACCTGGTAAACTAATTTTGTGTTTCAGTCATAACCTCACAGTCTCTGTAAGTTCTTCAAGACAAGGAAAAGGGTTTTTTTTGTTATGCAGAGCACACAAGATCCTGATGCTCTACTATAACAAATAAGAAATATTAGGCTTCAAACTTTTTACCAACACAGCTTCTTAAAGAACAGTCATAGATCGGCCTTGAAGACATTCACCCAAATGATCCTACAGAGTCAGTCATTGGGCATTTCAAGCCCTTGATTCAGGAGGCAGCTGGAGTGACATGTGAACGTGTGGCAACACCCTGGTGCCCACAGGGAGCAACCACCAAGCTCTGGAACGCTGCTGCTCACCAGCACACGGGTCAGCTCCCAAGGGCCTGTTCCTCCACGTGCCTGGGAACTGCTCCCAGCCCACTAATCCCAACAAACATCCGCATCTGAAATTGTTCCTGCAGTTTACACATCAGCAAAAGTAAAGATTATTTGTGTTTTGGGGATTTTTGCTGGTTGTGTTGTTTTGGGTTTTTTCTTTTCTTCTTTCCTTTCAAATGAGATCTGTGCCCCCAAACCAGCCAGGAAGCAAAACTGAACAAATTTTCCAAGTCCTGGTTTCTCAGTGACTGATGGTCACTACAGTATGACGGTGATCTACAAGAGGTGACTGCTCACAGGATGCTGCCATTTCAACTTCACTTTCCTATTACATATTTTTTTTTAGATATCTTAATAAAGTTTAATATTTTCCTAGTATTTCTACAAAAGTAACCGCTGTATGTTGCAATAGTGGGAAATATTTCAAGTAAGGAGGTCTGCACTGGTACATAGTCTTAAAGCAACACTTTACTGGAAAAAAAATGCATTCTGAAAAGGAGTGATAAATCCTCCACTAAGAAGTTAACATGAAGTGAGACAAAGCCTGACCCATTTATTTAATTCTGAAATTGAAAAGCATGTGTATTGAACATTCAAAAGGGTAACACCACTGATGGATGGTACAAATTCCAGAGCTCCCTAAATCAAAAAGCCATCTGCCAAAACATAATTTAAATGGTTTTGGTAACAAAGTGCACAACAATCAGAGCAAAAAAAGGTAAATATTTTCCCCCTATCTATTAAAAAAAAACACCACCACTTTTTCTTGCAGATTTTTCTGAAAAGCAGTAATAGCTGGAACTTCCAGTAGCACAGATATTCTCAAGAGCTCCCCTCTCCCAAGACACTATATTTACAAAATTCTCTGAAACCCACGCACACTGAGCATCTTGTAAGGATGTTTAGGTCTCAGGCATGAGAAAAAAAGACATCTATTATCATCATCTCTTATTCTCCAAGTAATATGCTTGTATTAATTATAGTATGTTCTCCCTAGGTGCAATCAGCAACTTACGATATGTGAAAAAAAGTACACAAATAGAAGACTCCAAAGCCCATTTCAGATTTTACCAGAAGGAAACTGAAGAAAGCAGCATTGAATAATACTCACTGAAGTCATCGAGCTTATGTTCCATTTTTCTTTGATCTGAAGCAGTCTTACCAGGTTCACCAGTCTGATCAACACCAGCCTTCAAAGTATGAGTTCCCACTGGATTTTCCAACAGCAGTTTCCCTTTCTGTGCAGCTGCTAAGCTTTCTGTACTGACCCCGTTCCCTGAAACATGGGAGCCTGGAAAGTTTTCTCCCAATGGTTGAGCTTTTGTCTGTTTCAGGTTCTCTGCAGCTGCTGATAAATTAGAAAATTTTTTTGCTTTTCCATGACTTCGATCCTGAACGTTTGACCCCGTATCTTTACTTCCAGGAATACAACTATTAACTTTGCATGATTTATTTTCTCCTTGTTTTTCAGAACAAACATCATTTTGTTTACTTTTTCTGCTGCTATTCCCACTTGGAGAACTTCTCCCGACATCCTTCACGGATTTGTCATTTCTATTATGCTTAAAATTTTGATTATTTGTAACTCTGACTGCTTTGCCCTCCTCACAGACGAGACGGACAGACTTCCTTGGGTCATGATTTCCATTCTTTGAGCTCCTGGCCTCTTCCATTATAGTGAAGACCTGCTTCTCCTGTCTCTTGAGACCACCTGAAGTGCAATTCTTCAGCAATCTGCAGTTGATTTTAAATCCACTGTGCAGGCGAGGATCGTAGCTGATTGTCTACTGCAGAAACAATGATAAACACTTGTAAGATGAAGGAAAAATATCAAACCTTTATGTAGATAACACATTAAAATAAATCTCTCTAAAGGGTAACTATAAATTATTATAGGAAGCATGTTCCTCCCCCCAGGCATAAGTGAATTTTCACAATAGTCAAGAAAATATAGATAATCTTGACTTCTATTTAAAAGAGATGGGGATATGAAGAGATAAATTGCAGAACATGGTAAAAACCACTGAGTGATAAACCTGCCAACAGCTTGCTTTTTTCTTTCCTTCCTATTTTTGGCTTTATGAAAAAACAAGAACCAAGATGTCTGCAACTACACTGGGAAAAAAAATAGTAAGAAGAAAAAATTAACACATCTGAAAAATAGCACTCAATAAAAATACAGCTCAAACTAGTCACTAGAGAAAACTAATTCAGTTTCTAGCAAGCAAGCTCCATTTTCTTAATGGATTTGAAAAAAAGACATTTAGACATATAGCTTCCAGTATTCATAATAAACTCAACCTATCACCTGTATCCACAGATAGGAGAATTGTATGGGTCTGAAATACCCTTAAGTTAACTGCCACCACCTAAATAAGATTTTGCTTAGCCAAAAAAACCCACACATAGTAAATATTTTATTTAGCTGTACATAAACCTTACTTATCTAAAACTCAATCCTTTAGGTGGTATATCATATGAGCGTTATGGTGGAGTCAACTCAAAGACTGTTTTTCCAGTGGAAACCTAAGAATGAACAAATGGATCTGTTTGTGAGGAATTATTCTCACCAATATAGACAACAAAGAGGAAATCTGTAACAGGAACTTGGATTTTTTTTTTTCTATATAACTTTGAGGTAACAATAAAAAAAAAAAAAATCTGAGAATGAAGTATTAGCAATGTAAGAAAATAAATTTTGTTAAACTATAGCAACACAGAGTTTAGAGTTTCACTCTTTCCTGTCCAGCTACACATTTGCTAGGTAAAAGTCTACCTAAAAGACATAGAAAGTTCTGGGTTTTCAGAGAATCCATCAAAATAAGTAGCCTATCATTTAGTGAAAAAAAGGAATAATAGAAGAGTCCATTAATTACAACTATTACAAGTATTACAATGTACTTTTGTACTTAAATAATAAGAACCAGAAGGAAGGAGCAGATTAAAATGTCTGTTAAAAGAAACAACTTTCTGAATATTGTCAGTATGAAGGTCTATTTTTTTCAGACTATATAATGTAGTTACTATCTCTCACTTTAAAGAGATGCAAATCAGAAAATACTTCAGCACACAAAGAACATACTAAAAGTGGTTATCATAAGCTCCCACTGACATAACTGAAAAAATATATTGTCTTTTCAAAATTAAATTCAAACAAATAAACCCCACAAGAATTTTCATTAATTTAATGTTAGTATCACATTCTTTAGTAAAATATAAAACTTGGGGGGAAAAAAAAAAATCTGTAGTTCTAAATTCGTTCCAATGGTTAAGTATTTTATCTCACAAATACATTTAGTTAATATTATAACTTTCTTCTATTAAACACCAATTACACCTCGCTCTTACTCCTAGACCAACAATCAAAAAGATTGAATAGTATTTGCCTTTGGCTTTTAGCAATTCTTATCAGCTCAGCAGCAGGAACTCCTGCCCACTTGGACCAGTCCTGCTTGAGCCCCAGTGTGGTAAGAAGGGTTCAGGGTGCCCACAGATTGGCTAAAGTATTCTAGTCTCTGACTAGCAGTATAAAGCACTGCTCTGCAGACTGCTGAGATGTCACAGCTACACACAGGATGTCACTATTTCTAACCTGGACTCTACTGTGCTTGCTTCATTTTTTTTTAATTTTTTTTTTAATTTTTTTTCATTTTTTTTTTTTTACCCAACCAAAAGATAGAGTAGTTTTTTTCCTCAAATTCTGATCAATTCCTTACATTTCAGTTGCTCAACCCCAAAATGCACACACCCCTCCCCCCCCATCAAGTTCAGTTTCAGTTCTGGTTCATTTCTGACATCCACATCAACCTTCAACTCTGGACTGGAGCATACTGAGGCCATAGTTCACACTCACTGGAAAGCAGCCCGGGTCAGCACCAGTTCTGGCAGGAGCAGTTAACACCTTTCTCCAACCCCAGCTACTTACTCCCACTCCTTTGGCTGCTCCTCCTCTTGTGCAGTGAACAAACCCAGCGAACCAATCCAGCTTAACATAAAGCTGGCACACGGGAGGAGGAGGAGGTGGTGCTGGTAGTAACAAACAACTAGCAGGGTGGGGACAACTTCTCTTGGCACCACTTCCAGCTTAAAGCTACCATGAAACTCCGGCATTGGAGAAGTGGGGCTTTGTTTTGCTCTGCTCTTTGTAAGTGTTAAACTGCTAGGTTCATGTTGTGCAAGAAGGTTTAAAAGAAATCCACACAAAATTCTGCTGTAGGCTCAAATGATTTGATCTTGTCCATTCAATAAGACATAGGGTTACATATTCAAAGATAAAATGTAGCTTGAATCAAATATACAAGTGGGACAGCAAAAAAAAACTAACGAAACTGCTCATAAAAATTATAACCCTGCTAATAAACTGAATACTGTGGTAGCACTGCATATTAAGAGAGTGTAATCACATGCAAGCAGTGAAGGCTAAAAAGCACAGACGTATTCCTGAGAAATATGAATACAGATAGGTCATGAAAATTCATAAGAAAAGAGTATTTTGTAAAAAAAAAAAAAAAAAATTTAAGAGTCCCACAATGAAATTCAGCATCTGAAATGCAAGTGCAGTAACAACGCTGCTGTACCTAGGAAGTGGGGGTTTTGCCTTTTCTTTCTTTTTTCTTTTGCTCTTTAAGACTGAAACAATGTAGCAGGTAAAAAATAATCTAAACTGCCATAACATACTCAACAGTAACCACACCACGATCTCACAAAAAATTGCTAAGTAAACCAACTAATGAAACTTAATGTGAAAATCAAGCAAAAAAAAAAAAAAAAAAGACCACTTCTGAATCCAAGAGTCTCAAAAAGATCCTTCATCCTCTACCAGATACCAGCCATCTACATACAAGAGAGGGAAATGGGAGGAGGGAAAGGAGTGCCTCCAGAAGAAAGGAGTGCCTCCAAAAACAATAACAGGGTTGGAAACAAAACACTACAGTGGAGTGAATCAGGGCTGAGGTGGCATCCTGAAACCTGGATGGGATGGCACATCTTATTCACAAGCTCAGGCTCATACCAAATTGCCAGACCTAGAATCAAAGAATTTTCTCCCAGGCAGCCTGGCAACAAAACCAGAGTTTTTCACCTGCGTCTGCAAAGTGGGGTATGA